GTTTGTTTGTGTACATCACTTGCAGTGTTGGGAGTAACGCATTACAAAAGTAATACATTACTGTAACATATTACTTTTTGCTGTAACGCAGTAGTGTAAGGCATTACTAATCAATTTTCAGTAATATTTTACTCGTTACATGTTCAGTCAGGCTTGTATTACAGTGTATTGTCTGCTTTTACTTCTTAAAGGCAACAGACTATGTGAAAGTTTTAAAGCAGTCTTTTAGTGCCAGTTCAGAGCGGTCGCGTCTGTAACATTGTTTTTTCCTCATAAATGCGAACACGAAAACTAAAATAAAATTAATATTTTAAGTACTATGGAGACTGGAGAGCCAGCCCTTCCTCATCCGATTTGCGCAGTGTAATTAACAGAATTACAAAAAATATATTTTGCCTCCTATTTTTTTGTCACGCATGAATGTGTGTCTTTTCCCTAATAATAAAAATAAAACATAGACTGATATTTGTCTAATGTCTGGAGTCCTTTAAGGAAGTAGCCTATATACGTTTCAATACATGTATTTTCTCAGAATTTTTATTTCAAGTTTTGACTGCAAATGTCATCATGTCCATAATTCTGGACTTCCCCAATTTTCAATAATTTATCCTCAACTAGTTTTGTGGTGTAGGTCTACGTATTTTATAATGTTAACTTAAAATACTACTAATAGCCTAATTTAAAGATAAGGCAGCATTGGATATGGACGTTAAGGAGAATAACGCTGGAGTTGGAAGAGGTGTGTCGCGATTCTGTAGGTTCGTCGATCTGAGTCGTGTGGCGAATCGCGATTTCGGTTTCATATTGCATATCGTTACAGCCCAAAAGTTAAGTTCTACTTAGATATTTTGGTGAAAGTAACTCAAACGTAATACATGAGTAATGTAACGCATTACAATTCTGAGACAGTAATATTGTAAGGTAATAAATTACTTTTAAATAACAGTAACAAGTAATACCTAATGTATTACAGTTTGGAAGTAACTTGCACAACATTGATCACTAGCCAACGGCGGGAAAAAACGCCGGTAATATTCAGGTAACTTAAAATTGACCTGCCTCTCTCTGCTTCCCGCTCCTTCCGCGAATGCCGAAATGAATTATGGGATGTTTCTGCCGTCAAGTTCACGCAAGTTACCAACCGATGCATCCTCGGTAAAATGGGAGTGTCAAGAACACATCCGGGATTTTTAACCGTTCTTGCCGAAATGCAAACTTGTGTATTGGGACAGTACTTGGGCCGCGACTGATGACGTTTCACGAGTCCACAAGAACACAAGTACAGACAAGAAGGCATATTGAGAAACGGCCTTTGGTGTGCCGCCAGGAACAGGGTTGGGAAACACTGCTCTAGATCATGGGCGTCAGTTTGGTTTGAAATGTACTGGGGACAAAAGTGCTGGGTACAATGACGCATTCATTCTTTTTTCTCTTTCGAGTAGGTCATTTTTTGAAAGACGATGTCCTGTAGCTTTCTGATGTACATGAATAAAAATGAGCACAAAGATGTGATGTCCGACCAAAAATGTGTTGGTACTTTGGGTGTAATTGGTCGTACAATGAGAACTAATCCCAGATAGCAAACTGACATTGAATCAACGTCGAAACAACGTTGATCTGACATTGTTTTGCTCATCGAATTAAAGGGTTAGTTCACCCAAAAATGAAAATTAAGTCATTAATTACTCACCCCCATGCTGTACCAACCCCGTAAGACCTTCGTTCATCTTCGGAACACAAATAAAGATATTTTTGATTAAATCTGAGAGCTGGATCAGTCCTCCATAGACTTCCTAAGGGACTAGCACTTGACGGCCCATAAAGTCATTAAAGAAAATGTTTAAATATTCCATGTGCCTACAGCGGCTCAATTATAAGTTTATCAAGCGACGAGAATAATTTTTTGTGCGAAAAAAACATAAATAACGACTTTCGACAACTATTCCATTACTTCCTTATGGGCCTTGAGACGAGAATTGAAGAGATTTCCAGAACGCATGCGCGAGAACTGAGACGAGGACGTTCTTCTTCGACTACTTTGCACTAAGTGCACTAAGATTTATAACTAACTCAAAATATTACACTCATCATTGTGCGTTGTATGAGATGGTAGGTTGGCCTTCACTTCATATAAGAAGGCACAAACACTGGCTCATACTTGTATATAAGGCATTAGTCGGCCAGCTTCCCCAATATTTGAGTAGTTTACTAACTTTTAATAGTCAAAGGTATAATCTACGTTCAAGTAGATATATTCTTTTAAATGTTCCTTTAATGAAGACAGAATTTGGAAAAACTGCTTTTACTTATAGCGCATCAACTGTTTGGAATGAGATCCAAAGTTCACTGAAACTAGAAGAACTTATTTCGATAAGTGAGTTCAAGCTACACTTAAACAAATCATTCAAATCTGTCTGCACTTGCTCTTAACATTTAATTTTGTATTATTTTTTGTACATGTTCGTGTTGTGTATTATGTTTTATGTATTTATGTATATCGTGTGCTGCTATTTTGGCCAGGGCTCACTTGTAAATGAGATATTTATCTCAATGTGACTATATCCCTGGTTAAATAAAGGTTTAATAAAAAAAAAATAAAACTTCTTGTTACCGGCTGCTCACCTCTTAGGAGTATTACCACTATCCCCCCCCCCCCCCCCCCCCCATGCTCTAGATGATTCTCTCATCTACACAGATGCATTTTACTTTTTGCAAATGAAACATTAAAAAATATTAAAACATGAGGGAAATCATTGTTGTGTCCATGACGATGGGAAAAATAGGCATAAAGCTTACACATTTACCCATATTATTATATGCATGTTTAACTGAAGCTAATTTGGGTTTGTTTGTCCCATCCCCAATGTCACTTCTCTTCCTTTTACGGCCCTGACGAGAACATCGATCTCCTCGGCTGTGAACCGATTCTGAAACACGCCGTTAAAATAGAATTGCGCCATCATTTCGTTCATCACGCTCTTAAAGGGAATGTGATATAACGCTCTTATTGGTTTGTTTCCCGTTACGCCCAAACCACACCTATGAATATTGAAGCTACTTCAGACCAACCCCTTTTAAACTTCATTTATCCCGCCGGTTAAATAGCAACAGCGCCGAGATCCGCCCACAAAGTTACTTGCGCTTTGCGCTTGACACTTACGTTTTAGATCGTTAAAATAGAGTCCCTAGTCTTTTTCACCGCATTTTCAAAGGAAGCAAGACCATGCTGTCGAAACGAGCGCTGGATACCTGAGGTAAAACTTCTCACCATTTATTCAGGGTATGAACGATTGTTTTCCATATCATTTTTTTAAAGGGCCTTGACTTGTCAAACAGTGAAGGACTTTTTTCTGGACCTAAGCGATTAACTTCTCCGCAATGTCGTCTGCCATATTTTAATGCGCGAGACCTTAATTTAGAATGGATTCTGATTGGCTGTCGAAAAAATCGTTACAAAAGTGATCTCGATGATATCGTTTCTCTATATGGTTATCGTTATAGCTGTGGTGTGAACTCTGCTATTCTTTAATATTGATAACGATTTTTAGAACTTTCTCGTTATAGTTATCGTCCTTGGTGTAAACGGGCCTTAATTAGAGCCAAACCGATATATCGGCAGACCGATATTATTAGGCATTTTCCAAACTATCGGTATCGGCAGTTATAATGGCCGATAAATGAATATTTAAAAAAAAAAAAAAAAAAAACGGACGAAACGCGCTTGAACCATGTCATGAGTGTTGGAGTTGTATAGTTTTTCCACCAGAGGGCACTCTACACCTTCCCTGTTGGCAACACTCGTTGAGTTGGTCACGAGACATACATTGCTTGAATAACAATTAAAAGAACATCCCCATCAGTTCTCTTAACTCAAATAAGCATGACAAAATTTGTGAGTATTCATCTCCAGTTTAAAAAAATAAAATATCGGCCGATATATCGGAATATCGGATTTTAAAACCCAAAAATATTTGTATCGGCCTTCAAAATCCTTTTATCGGTCGGGCTCTAGTCTACAACTGAGTTATTCCAAGTTATTTCAAATTGCCGAATTAGCACACACAAATATTATCTTAATTAGTCAATGAGTTCGAGCTATTTATCTCTGCTGATTTCAGGATGTAATAAAATATTTTAGTTTATCAGTTTTTCTCACAGTGCATTCTGGGAATACCCTAGCCAAAACAAGGGCTGCATTTAAGTCCACTTTTTTTTTATCCTTCCCTCGCCAACTTCCCTCGGGTGTGCGTCATTGCTTGCGGTGTACAAGCGAAACCCTTGCAAGTGAGTTTAAATGAAACACCCTAAGCCCTTGGAATCTGCTATGGAGCCCACCATGCGAGTTGCTATTGTGACGTCACAGTCGTGTTGCATTCTGGTGCTAATGAAGTGACTCGGTCAAAACCAAGGGGTCGAGGGCCTGTCCGAATAGACATCCTGAAATAGAGAGCACTTTAAAATGGCGGCCCTTACGCAAGTTTGCGAGTGTATGTCTAAAAGTGGAGTTAAACACAGCCAAGTTGTTTCAAGAAAGCATAACATCTGGGAGTTAAAGGGTGTCTATGATGCCTAGATAGGCAGCTCACTAGAGTTTGAAACAGGGCACTGGAAATCATACAGGGGATCTGCTCTAATAAATCCAAGAAGAACCAGAATTTTTTTTCCCATTGTGCATTAATTCTGGAAAAAGTCCTCCATATGGACCAATTAAAGCATTAATATTGTGCAAGTACACTCTGAAAAATAAAAAGGTTCGTTAGTGGCATTGAGGGTTCTTCCAACATCCAGTGGAATAAACAAAAGATCTTTAAAGAACAGTATCTAGGGAACCCAAAATGGTTCTTCTATGGCATTGCCGTGGAAACCCCATTTTGGAACCATTATTTGTAAGAGTGTTTGATTATTTCTTAGAGTTTCAGGTTTTGTCTTGTGCAATTGGAGAGACAGAAAGAGGAGATTTTGAATAGTATGACAGCACAGATCAGAAGAAGAACAAACAGTTTAGTCTGCCCTCTTGTATTTGCCAGAGGGAGCCACACACTAAACGCTCACCGCTGCCCTGCAACATATTACACAACATCTCCAAACAAGTAAATCTACAACGACATTACAGCAGAAACCTGCAGCCTTGAGCTGATGTGATCCTCCAGAGAAGGTGGTGTGCTTAGCTAAGTTTCCTCTGGCTTGGTTGCATCTTTTCCTGAGTTAGAGCTATCATCCGCACTGGACTCGACTGTGCCCCCGGCCTGCTCGCTCGAGCGCGTTTGCTCTTCGGTGAGTCTGGAGCTGCTGTGCTGTTGCTCTTCAGTCTCGGGACCCGAGTCGCAGGAGTCGACCTTCTTTACCTCGTCATCAGACGTGAAGTCGGAGCTGTCAGACGGGCTTAGACCAGCGGAGGCGGAGGCTGGCAGTTGAATCTATTACAGGACGAGAAACATACTGACTGGAAAGCAAGTCTTAACTTCTTAAAATCCAATTGTTGTTTACAGGTGAAAATCAAAAAATTTGAATATCGTGCAACAGTTCATTTATTTCAGTAATTCAACTTAAAAGGTGAAATTAATAGAGATGCACCGATTGACAGGCGCGTGACCAGAACGGTTTAAAAGTGATCGGCCGGTCAGTCTGACATATGCCGATTTTATGCCGGTCAAATGCACTCGGGCGCCGCATGATTAACGTCACGCAACATCAGTATCACGCGGGAGCAGGAGCCACGCGTGAGCGTCAAGCAGGAACGCCGCGTGAGCAGCAGTGAAGCCGTGTCTATTTTTTTGCTCACGCTCAATTAAAATCAAAGCACACTTTTGATGAAAAAAAAAATAATAAAAAATTATTTAAAAGTGTATATATATATATATATATACAAAATAAATATTTGTGTTATTGAAAATAAAAAAAGTGTTTAGAAAAATAAAATCGGAATCGGACAAAATTGGTATCGGCAGGTCAAACTCAATGAAAATCGGCCTAGAAAATTGTAATCTGTGCATCTCTAGAAACTAATAAATAGACTCATTACATGCAAAGTGAGATATTTTAAGCCTTTATTTGTTATAATTTTGATGATTATGGCTTACAGCTTATAAAACTTTTTCACAATATTCTAATTTTGACTTAAACTGTGAGCCATAATCATTCAAATATAACAATGTGTGTGTGTGTGTGTGAAGCACAAAAGAAGTTTAGAGAAGAGAAGTTTAGAAACGCGGCAGCTCCGTTTTGCGTGTTGAATCTCCGGAGGGCGTTTTAGGCTATGTTTACACGGAAACGATTCTGAAGAGAAAACGCAAAAGTGGCGTTTCGTCATCACTTTTTATTCTTCGTTTAAACAAGCGTTGGGTGGGAAATCCACGTGCAAATGGTGACGCAAAAGTGTGTGAAATTCAATGTAGTGTGCACTCCAGATGGCTAGGTGGCGATGTGGAGCACTGCCACACAACAACACCAAGTCCGCGCGCCTGCGTACAATCTTCACTGTCCAAACCTTCGACTTTTGCGTTTTTACCGTTTACACAGGAACGTTTTAAAGATTTCCACTCTGGAGGGTGGTTTCACTTTTTAGCGTTTTTAAGCCGTCGTAAACGAAAGGCACATCCGCTAAAATATTTTTACGTTTTCACCCGCGAGCGTTTTCGTGTAAACAGGGCCTTAGTGAAGACGCGACAAAACGGATTACTTCAGAAACGATGGCGCATAGGCTCACGCTCGACTCTATGGTGTCATCAGTCATGACGTGTCCTTCCCTGATTCGTCAGCCATCCATCACATGACCCGTTTCCTGTTTCCAATGTTGGTGAATGGTCACGTGATCTGCGTTTTCAGTCGTTTTAATGTGGACGGAGATCAATACGCAGATAAAACGCTGGTGTGGATGGAGATCGTATTCGTTTTAATTCTCCGTTTTTAAACGAAAATGCAGTAGTGTGGACGGCTTGTTCCACACATCATAACGCCATTTTTACGTCACTGCACATGCGCAGTACTGTTCAGTTTTGGTTTTCAATCCAATCAAGAGTTTACATGTCATCCTGATGGGATTAGAAAAGGTTTAAACCACCCCTTACAATACGAACTCAATTTGAATCGGATTCACTCTGATTGACGAGGTCATGTGACTTTTTTTACTCTGGATATCGGATTATTAGGGTCCAAGTATCTGAGAGCGGTTTTATAGTACATAGGAAGTGGATGCTGGAATAAAAGAGACTATCTACCTGGAATGGCTCGGTGACACCCACAATGGAGCTCATATTGTTGCTGTAGTAACCCAGTATGAAGTCGCCAGAATCCTTTGGCAATTCTTCCTCTGTAAAAGTCACCTGGAGATCGCAAATCAAAATCCACAAGCTTCAGTGTGTAGCTTTATGAACACTTTATCATGCAACTAAATGCATGTGATTTGTCCTTACCTGGTGCTCCTGTCTCAGGAAGTCAGACTCTTCCTGCTTGGCCCATGTGTAAGACACATAGTCTTTATGGTACTTAAACCCAACCTGTGAAACGACATATGTGTAAAGTATGTTCAATCAATTTCATGATCTTAAAGGAGTAGTTCACTTTAACAAAACTTTTGCTGATAATTTACTCACCTCCATGTCATCTAAGATGTCTGTGTCTTTCTTTCTTCAGTCGAAAAGAAATTAAGGTTTTTGATGAAAACATTCCAGGATTTTCTCCATATAATGGACTTCAATGGGGTCCAAACGGTTCAAGGTCCAAATGAGAGTTTCAGTGCAGCTTCAAATGGCTTTAAACGATTCCAGACGATGAATAAGGGTCTTATCAAGCGAAATGATCGCTCATTTAAAAAATAAATAACAAAGCTTAAGTTTTATAAGCTCAAATGCACGCCTTGCTCTGTTCTGTGATGCACGTTTGTGACTCTCCAGTACAAACTCGTTTATCAAAATGAACTAATCTTTTTTTGAGTCATTTGATTGATTCAACGAACGAAATGAACGAATTGACTCGAAAAAAGATTTGTTCATTTTGATAAATGAGTTCGTACAGGAGAGTCACAAACGTGCATCACAGAGAATTTGTGCTTATAAAACTTAAACTTTGTTGTTTGTTTATTAAATGAGCGATCGTTTCGCTTGATAAGACCCTTATTCATCGTCTGGAATCGTTTAAAGCCCTTTGAACAGTTTGTAGTTTGTACTGAAAGTGTCTTTTGGACCTTGAACCGTTTGGTTCCCATTGAAGTCCATTATATGGAGAAAAATGCTGGAATGTTTTCATCAAAAACCTTAATTTCTTTTCTATTAAAGAAAGAAAGACATGGACATCTTGGATGACATGGGGTGAGTAAATTATCAGCAAAAGTTTTTTTTTTTCTAAAGTGAACTACTCCTTTAACTCAAGAGACAAAAAATATATGGTTTTAACCACATCAATAGATGCTCAGAACTGATGAAATGATTGAAATAACCTTGTAAAGCCCAATCCAGTCCCAGGAGCTTCGAGGAAAGTTGGGCACCACCTTGAATGTGGCCACCGCATCTGATATCTCTGTCCATTCATCCTCTACAATGAGTTCTACTAGAGGCATGTCCACCTTATATGGGAACTGAAAAAGGACATCACATGTTAAACACAAACAAACAATGAAAGTTGCATCGATGTAGACATTCTGAGACAACCTTGAAAATGAAAGGATTTTATAGTCTGATGTCTTAGGAATTTCCACCTTTCAATTAAAATAGCCAATCATCATACAAGCCCTTTTCACAGACTGTTTTTATTGAAATACCTTTTAGATTTAGCATTTAGCAAATGTTATTGTAGGCTTTTCTAGCTGAGGTGTTTATTTTGTCATCACTTAACCGTGACGTTGTTGTCTGTGTGTTTGTATGGCTGTCTCTGTTTTTATTTTTCGTACAGCACCAGTTGTGTAAAAGTGCTTAATGAATAAATAAATTAAATGAAATGAATGAACCAACATGAAAACATAATTTTTTAAGGGAAAGATCACTTTGAAATTAATTTTTGCTACGTTTTAAGGTGTCTTTGTTTCCGCAGTAGTTTCAATTTTGATATTTTTAGGTCAAACCGTTTGTGTCTGTCAGTCATATAATGGAGGTCTATGGTCACCACCTCAAAGAGCATGCACAGAGAAGTCCAAATTAAACATGATTTAATGACTCGTAAATGTAAGTACACATTGATGGCCTAAGACACGAAACGAGCGGTTTGTGTGAGAAAACGAACAGTATATAATAATTTTTACCTCTTGTTACCACAGCCACAAAGCGCCCTCGCCTTGCCTCGCAGATTGGGGTTACAAGAGGTAAAAACAATATAAATACTGTTCGTTTTCTCACACAAACCGCTCGTTTCGTGTCTTAGGCCATCAATGTGTACTTACATTTACGAGTCATTAAATCATGTTTAATTTGGACTTCTCTGTGCATGCTCTTTGAGGTGGTGACCATAGACCTCCATTATATGACTGATTGACACGAACGGTTTGACCTAAAAATATCAAAATTGAAACTACTGCGGAAACAAAGACACCTACATCTTGGATGCCCTTGAGGTAAGATAAAAAATACCAAAAATTAATTTCAAAGTGAACTATCCCTTTAAGCCTGATTTGAGCTAAACAAGTGTAACATCAGGACGTGTTCATGCGCCGACCTGCAGAGTGAAAATAGAGGAGACCGGCTTGTGGTCGCTGACGGTGTACTCCATGTGACTGCGGTAGAAGTGCTGCGACACACGGGTCCCGCTGCTCAGTCCCGCCATGGAGCTTCGCTTCGACACGCTGTTGCTGAACGCAGCCGTCGGCCTCAGACGCCACAGAATACGGTCAGTCCATGCAGGCTTGCGCTTCTTACCACTGAGGAACATCAAGATTCACTTAAAGGAGTAGTTCACTTTTGATAATTTACTCACCCCCAAGTCATCCAAGATATCCATGTCTTTTTTTCTTACTTCAGAAATGACTCGAAAAAAGATTCGTTCATTTTGATGAGTTCAAACAGGAGAGTCACGAACGCGCATCACAGAACAAGGTGAGCATTTGTGCTTATAAAACATAAAACTTTTTTATTTATTTATTAAATGAGCGATCGTTTCGCTTGATAAGACCCTTATTCATCGTCTGGTGTCGTTTAAAGCCCTTTGAAGCTCCAATGAATCTATGATTTGGACCTTGAACCGTTTGGTTCCCATTGAAGTCCATTATATGGAGAAAAATCTTGGAATGTTTTCATCAAAAACCTTAATTTATTTTCGACTGAAGAAAGAAAGACGTGGACATCTTGGATGACATGGGGGTGAGTAAATTATCAGCTAAAGTTTTTTTTAAAGTGAACTACTCCTTTAAACAACTGTGCAATTATAACATCATCGCTGGAAGTGAATACTACAGATGGACAGAGATGGGAAACTGAATCTTTTGAATCAGGAAAACAGTTTGATATACCATCAAACACAGATTTAGACTCCCAAAATCCTCCAAAAATCAACTTGCTGCTGCAAAAGCGTCTTGTTCATCTTGTGCCTCAGTACAGTAACTCAGTTACTCACTTCATATGAGAAGAGATTAGCCAATCATAGAAGAGGTGCAAAACACAGCCCGTTTAATTCTAAGGTGTGTGAAATGGCAATGGCATTTTTAAAAATGTAAAAATTTTAATGAGACCAAAATAAAAAAAGAATATGAAAAATATTATAAAAATATATCAAGTCAAGTTATTTTATTTTTCTATCTATTTCTATTTATTTAATCAAGGACACTAAACATTAATAACACTGTCTAATTATGCATAACAAAAATATGAATAATACATAATAATATGTAAAATGCAACACTGGCTAATTTTCATCCATAGTCCAATTTGTTATGTAAAATGTATTCTCAATACATATTATTATAATTATGATTTTCATGTTTATAATATCATAATATATTATTCGTCCCTTATAGTCACAATTAGTAGATTAAATCTGGGCAATAATATAGTTTTAACATTTTACAATGATACTAGAAATCAGGCAGTTATGATTTGCTATAGAGTATATAACGTTTTACATGAGTGTACGGTATGTATTACGTATGTGTGTGTGCGTGTCATATATACAGATGAAACTCGAAAAATTAGAATATTGTGCAAAAGTTCATTTATTTCAGTAATTCAACTTAATAGGTGAAACTAACATATTATATAGAGTTTTTTACAGTTTTTAAAAAAATGAACTTTTGCACAATATTATAATTTTGAATTTGGGGTTTTCATAAGGTGTAAGCCATAATCATCATAAAGACTTGAAATATCTCACTTTGCATGTAATGAGTCTATATAATATATTAGTTTCACCTTTTAAGTTGAATTACTGAAATAAATGAACTTTTGCACGATATTCTGTTCGAGTTTCACCTGTAAATTTGAGTATACTGTATATATATGCGGAAAAAAACCACCTTTATTTGACCTTTTTGCAAAATAAGTATTTCTGCACCTGAATTTATTAAATCTTTTCCATTTTACCTGGTGTCATACGTGTCTGTTCCCACATCAAACTTGTAGGTCGGAGGGAATTTGATGGGCCCCTCGTGGAAGCCTTCGAGCACAGACTCGCTGCCTTTAGCCATGTTCAGCTGCGGGACGGAGATCCACACAATATTATGAATATTGCATTGTGTTTTTTCAAAACAGTTGCTCCTTCTTCAATGGGATTTAATATTTCCGTGATGTTTACATCATGTCATGTTTTTGACTTTTCGAGGGAGGTTGTGCTAGACATGCACGTCTCACCTGGTCTTTTTCCCACAGTACGGACAGTTTGTTATTGTCAATAGCTGCTTTCACAACTTGCATCTCAAGGTCCTCGATTCGGAAGTTCAAGTCTCCAAACCAGAAAACCAAACTGCAAACATTGTCCGAGAGTCGCATCATACAGTTTTCAACATCAATGGCAAGGTCATACTGGGTAAATTCATTTCAATCATAACCCGATCTCATGAGAAAACACTTTAGACTTTACAAATTTAAAAAAGTATCTTTGCAAACCCAAACCCCACCAGTCTACTAATACTCCACTGAGAGTTAGTTAGCAAATGAATGAGATTTACTTGGATATTTGAGGAGACTAAACTAAACATTTTAAGGCAAACAACAAAAAATTAAAAAAAAATGTAGTAGCAAAGTTACCTTTTGTTAGTAAAGTGGACTATTGAAAAAAAAAGTGTAACCAAAAACCTAACACGTATTATAAATTGTGGATTTCCTATAAATGTGCACAATTTTATTTGTAGAAAAATCGGTGACACTCGGTCTAAAAAAATTGGAATTGGCAACAAACAGTTACAAATTGTCATGAGATCCAAATCTTTTGTATATATAGTTTTTAGATCTTATATATAAAGTTTTTGTAAGATAAAAAAAAGTGTATACTGTGTTGGGTCACAACTTTATGTCCAATCTAAAATCTGAGACTTGAAGACTGAGGAACACTTCCCTTGGGGAACTAAAGTACAACAGCACCATCTGCTGGTCAGATCCATCATTATACATTACACTACATGTACAAAGAATAATGTCTCAGGGGCGATTCTAGGATTTTCCTTTTAGGGGGGCTTAGCCCCCAATGAGGGTATGATTAAAAAAAATTAAATAAAAAAAAACAAGGTAAAAGTTTAATTTAGGGTCTAATTCTCACTTTCATTACCATGCAATTGCAGGGTTTTATAATCACTGTAGTCCTGAATTTGAGTTGTGTTAGTTAGGGGGGTTCGGGGTGTCCCGACGAGAAAATTTTGAATTCTCTGAACTATTATGTCCATTTTAAGATGTTTTGAAGGCTTTTTTTTTTTTTGATAAAACCATGTCAGTGGGCAGCTGATTATTTCTCTCTCCTCATCAGCATCACCCTCTTTTTCTCTTTGTTTTTCTCTTGCCCTGTCTCTTTCCCTCCTAAAGTTGAGCTTTGACTGATAATTAGGCTTTTCATTTTTGTAAAAAAAAAAAAAAAGCACATTAAATTGGGATAAAGCACTTTCTGGTTCTGATTCTGGGGCTTTATAATCAAAGAGGTCCTACATTTGAGGTGGTTTGGGGGTTACATTTTTTAATCTCTGATATGTGCATTTCAAGTCGTTTAAAGATCAAAAAAAAGAAAGAAATAACTTTAAAACTATGTCAGTAGATTTGTCAATACCTGCTCTTTCCTCATCTCGCTTGTCTCCTCATCGTGCCCTTTCTCTCCCCCTCCTAAAGCTGAGCTTTTTTTATTTACTAAAGGCTACAATTTGTAGTATATTTTCAACATTCATTATTAATCATGTACCTTCCATGATGAAAACGGATTTGTTAACGTTTCTTGTCTCACAATGACATTAAACGAATTATTACATAAGGCTGACGTTACATGCCTAATTTCAGTTCAAAAGGGCGAAATTAGATGAAACTATATTAGTTTTCTTGATTATTTTTTGTTTATCATTCGTTTAACATTTATGACCTCAAAAAACTGTCAAATATATAACGTTATAAGTTTAGCTACTTACATCTCGCACTGAAGTCGAGTCGTGCTGCTAAAATTCGCGCTCAGCTTCTGTGAATGTACTGAAAAGCCCGCCTACTTTGATTTGATTAGTCATCTCAAATATTCTGACATTGACGAGCAGTGACAGACCAATGGGCTCAGATGAACACACTGCGGATTTAAGATGTAGAACGCGCTAAATGTGATTAAAACAAGACTGAAGCGAACACGAATTTGTGTAGCATATTAATCACAAATTTTTAGGGGGGCTAGGCATAAATTCAGCCCCCCTAAAAAGGGCCTAGTGGGGCCCTATAAATGGGGCCCTATAAATCATACTAAGTAATATTTTTTTTTAAAAATGCAGAACGTTTCCTGTGAGGGGTAGGTTTAGGGATAGGGGCAGGGTAAGGGGATAGAATATACAGTTTGTACAGTATGGAGAGTCCCCACAAAGATGTGTGCGCCTGTTTGTGTGTGTGTGTGAGAGTCTTACTCGTGATCCAGGACGCCCATGGCCGCTTGTCCCTCGAACTGCTGCTGCTGCAGGATGCTCTCGAAGTCCTCCATGCGCTGCTCTGAGTTCTCCATGTGAGCGGGAAGGTGACAGTTCAGGAAACAGATGGAATGACCGAACACGGTCATGCGAGCGCTCACGCCGCCTTTATTCCCCTGACAGAGAGACCGTGACCCACACATGCACTTTTAGTTTTTTCTAATCACCCTACAAACTCTCAACATTTCTATAGTGTTTCGTCATAAGAGGGTTTGGTGTTTCTGAACTCAAGATTTTCCGAATTGTTCCTTTTCGCATTTTCTACACTGATTTGTGGAGAAATACAAGCAAGATTCGGCAGGATAAAATATAGCAACTTAAAATATTATAAAATATGTATTAATAATTATAAAAAATATATATATAATGTATATTATATATATTTATATAATATGCATTATGAAAAAAATATATAATGTATATTATATATATTTATATTAAAATATGTATTAAATATATATAAATATAATATTTATAATATTCATAATATATATATAAATATTATAAAAATAAATAATTATATAAATTATTAATATTAAAACTTATGTTAATTATTGCATGTTCTACACCATTTTTGAAAACTGAAGGCATTGTCAAATCAGCCAAACTCTAAACACAATTTTATAATGTGCATACATTTAAACTCTATATAAACCTGTTTCTCACTGATATACGACGGTATAACATCTGTAACATATCTCATAATATATATTTATCATTATATACATCATATTATCAACTGATTTAAGTCAGGTGCCTTAACAACAAGCCATAAACACATCTCTCAGTTTCGTTATTAATACACACCACTAATTAAACTCTTATTCGAATTATTTATCAACACTCTGAAAAATGGGGTTGTTTCAACCCAAATTTGGGTCAAATATGGACAAACCCAAATGTTGGGTTAAAAATGCAATTAAAAAATGTAGTTGAAAGTGAAAGTTGAAGTCTGGTTACATTTGGGTTTGTCCATATTTGACCCAAATTTGGGTTAAAACATAAAAGGGAATGATTTAAAAAGGATAATCAAAAAATCTGTTTACAGACGTTTATGCTCAATATATTCAGATGAATGTGAATCATTTTTATAACTTATTAATACCCATGGGGAAACTGGCTTCATGCTCTTTGTTGTAAGGTTTGACGCTGTTGTTCTTGCTATGAGAGGTGAGTTTATCATAATGATGGCATCATTTTATATTCATAGGTGTTCAGCACATTATTAATATTTCAGCAGCACACTGCATGTGATATTTGACAGAACCCTGGGTTGTAACCTTTCATATCTGCAAATGAGGATTAATAAACTGTTTGTGGAGGAGAAGCGTGACTTTAGAAGATTGCAGATGATTACCCAGATTCCCCCGAGCCCGGTGCGAGTGGTCTGGGTCTGAATGCCTCTCAGGAAAGGAAGGTGAAAGTACTTGGAAAACACCAGCAGAAGCATTCCCTGCATCCTCTGAGACGTCACCTACACACACACAGGTCCAACACAGTGCCACGTCATTGGCTTGACACAGAGAAAACACAATCTGAGTAATAAATAATCGCTTGCTCTCTAATTTTTAGAGAATTTCTGACAGGGTGCGTATGGAATGGGACATAACCAAACAGGTGAAACTCGAAAAATTACAATATTGTGCATTTATTTCAGTAATTCAACTTAACCCTAAAACCGTATTCTGGACAAATGTGGGCAAAATAGATTTGATTTATTTAAAAAAAATACTTCCCTTAATCTGAGCGCTACAAGACTTGCCTCCTGAACACACAAAATTTTTTTTTGACTCAATTCTACAAAAACTCCTTAATCTTGTATTTGGGTCAAAAATGGGCACCCATAGAAATGAATGGGAAAAACTGTAATTTAGAGCATTCTAAAATAAGCCGAAATAAGACACCAGGTGACAGCAAAGTCACTTCATCTTTAGGTTTCAGCTCTAAGAACTTATTGGAATGATATTTTAATGTAGTTAAAAAATAAAACATAAAAATAAGCATAATTTACATAGAAAATATGCTACTTTTTGAAGTAAATAAATTCAAAAATACCCCACAAACACCATAAATGGATAGAGAAAACTTTATCGGAGACAGTGATATAACATTTATAATAAATAAAAATTAGGATCACACCTGAGTCCACAATTACAGGATTAAGGGCTATAAAGTGAATACGGTTTGAGGGCTACAATGTGAAACTAATACACTCTAAACAATGCTGGGTTGTTTCAACCCAAATTTGGGTCAAATATGGACAAACCAAATGTTGGGTTAAAAATGTAATCTAAAAATGTACTGTTGAAAGTGAAAGTTGAAGTTGGTTAACATTTTAAATGACATTTATAACCCAATATTTGGTTTTTTCCATATTTGGGTTGTAACAACCCAGCATTTTTTAGAGTGTATATTATATAGACTTATTACATGCAGAGTGGGATATTTCAAGGCTTTATTTGTTATAATTAGGTTTACAGCTTATGAAAACCTTTTCACAATATTCTAATTTTGAATCTAGGGTTTTCATATCTGTAAGCCATAATCATCAAAATTATAACAAATAAAGGCTTGAAATATCTCCCTTTGCATGTAATGAGTCTATATAATATATTAGTTTCTATATAAATATACTATATAATATATTAGTTTGAATTACTGAAATAAATGAACTCTTGCACGATATTCTAACTTTTTGAGTTTCACTTGTACTACTGGTTCAGTGTTATCGGTTAAATGAAACTAGTAAGAATTGTTTTCATTAATTCATTCAGAAAAATGCAGGGTAAATTTCATATTTATCTAAATGTAAACGAAAAATAAAATGTTGCCTTCACAACTAACTGAATACGTTTTAAAATGACTGAAAACTAAAACCAAGATGAAAAAAATTATTAAAGCTAAAAATAAATATAAAATAAAATAAAAATAAAATAAAAATGAAAAAAGTATGGAAGCTTGTTTCTGCGACAGAATAAAAAATAAAAAGGTAATTGCAACTTTTATCTTACAATTCTGACTTTTTTCTCGCAATTGCGAGTTTATATCTCACAAATCTGACTTTATAACAATCTCAATTCGGTTTATATCACAATGCTGAGAAAAAACTCGCAACTATCTATTTAATTATTTTATTCCATGGCATAAACAAGCTTACGTACAAATGCATATAACAAAATTACAAAAACTAAAATAGATATAAAAAGATGATTCAAAAAATGTGCCAGATTAATAAATATGCCATCTGTATCCAACTGAATCAGGGTAATTATAGCTAATAACCTTAAAAAACACATTTAGTTGCTATAGATGATAACTGAAATAAAGTAAATATAAACAAATACTTTTTTCCCCAGCTAATTACCAAGGCACATTTTTGTTTTGTTTAACTTTGTTTAACTTAAGTACTAATATAACTAAAACTAAATAAACTCAAAGTAATAAATCCAAATTAATAAAAAAAACTATATTTTTAAATAATAAAAATAACAAAAACACACAACAAAATGACTAAAACTTTAACTAAATTAAAGTGAAAACAGAAAATGTATAATAACTGATATCTAATTCAAAATATGCATTATACTACAACGATACTAGAATGCCTCCAATGCACTGATCTCCACTGGAGCGTTCGTTAACAGAGAGATTAATTAAGCAGAAGTGGCATTATTACCAGAGATATTCAGAATATAATACTAGCCTTCTGCTTACCCTGGAGGACATACTGTACCTCTCAATTAGTGTCAAAAACACACTGTACTCAACAATAAAGATGTGTGTGAGATTATTTGTCCACAATGAATCAAATAAATAAAATGTGGGAGGAGTCTAACTGATTGAAAATAGAAACATGAGCCACATGACAGAGACAAACACCAGCAAAGAGGTTTTCAACCTCAGCCACTCACTCAGTATTACATAATGGGACCCCTGAGGCTCTCATGACAACAGTGTGTGTGTGTGTGTGTTAAGAAGGAGCATTACTGACCAGTACATATCCAAAGGGGCTGAGAGCATCCATGAAGACCTCGCTCCACTGGTCAGTGAAAAGAACATCTTTCAGTCGTTTGTTGATCATTGAGTTCACTTCCTGTAAGCTGAGAGAACACCACACAGTAAAGCTTAAATCAAGGTAGAAGAGACCTTATGATGTATATCTGATTATGGTCATCATATTATAGGGGTCAGTAAAACTTATTTATTAATGAAATTAATCATTTTATTGCATTGAATTGATCAAAAGTGACATTAAAGACATTTACAGGTGAAACTCGAAAATAAGAATATCGTACAAAAGTTCATTTATTTCAGTAATTCAACTTAAATGGTGAAACTAATATAGTATATCGACTAAATACATGCAACGTGAGATATTTTAAGCCTTTATTTGTTATAATTTTGATGATTATGGATTACAGCTTATAAAAACCTTTTCACAATATTCAAATTTTTGTTTCACCTTTTAACCCCTTAAGTGTCGCCCCCCCCCCCCCCTTTTTTTGAATATAGATGAAAATGCTCATTTTGAACTTAAATGGTTGTAATTCAAGAATGCTTTGGAATATAGACGTAAGATTGGTCTCGTTTTAAAGAAGACATTTGGCAGATTTTTGTAGAAGTGAAATAAATTAAGAATGTGAAACAGAAAAAAAAGTTATAGAAGTTTGAGTTTATGAAAATGTACAATATAAAATATTGAATTATTCATATTTTATATAAAATATATATTTTCAAAACCTGGGCGACTCTAAAGCTGAAAAAAAAAAAAAATCAAAGCCAAAAATCAGAATAAGTTGTGTTTCAAATTTTAGGTTGATATCTCAAAAAAATGAGCTTTTCAGTGAGATTTTGTTTGGGCGCAGTACCAAACATTTTCACTAGGGCACAACCAGACTCCATTACAGCCCATATAAAGGCGCCTCCATTTCCATATGAAATAATAATTATTATAATTATAAAATAATTGAATGTAGGCTTTCTTTTGAACTCATGGCATGAAAACAAACAGGTTTCTACCCTTCTTTCATGATTTTTCATGTTCATCACAATTTCAAAATAAAGGTCTAAACATGCCTTAGCTTAGAGTATGAAAATATTCTTGTTGCAAATTGATAAATTACGGCTACTCTGTAATATATTTTGAAAAAATATTTCACCAAATATGAAAACTAGAGATTCTAAGCTTTCAAATGATATATAGTTTGTCAAGATTAGTTTAGGTTTAGTATAGGATAATACTGTAATACTGTGACACCAAAGGGGTTGAATTGCTGAAATTAATTAACCTTTGCACGATATTCTAAGCTTTGATTTTCACCTGTAGAATGTTATATAATATTTCAAATAAATGCTGTTCTTTTATCTTCTTCTGTTCTGTTTTATCTTCTTCTGTTATCTTCTTCTGTTCTTTTAATCCAAACTTTTGGCCATTTTCTGAACATCAGTGTCAGTGGGAACAGATTTACTGTGATTCCTTTTCATATCGAGCAGCTTTCATATAGAAAATCAGTGCAAATCTCACCCTATAATGTACATGTCTGTGTTCCCATCGCCAACATGCAAGCCCAGTAAAGCCGTGATGTCTTCAGGAGGCATGGCTGAGCCCACGTTCCAAGTGATAATATGCACCCTGATGGCAGAAAGACACATTCACAGTCTGTTATAGGCGTCACTGACTCTGTTTACATGCGCACCAATCACCTCTTCACTCACGTTTACATGCAGTTTTCATCATTCTGATCATTCGCTAAGAATTGTGGTTATTTTACCAGCATTGAACTCTATATAGTTGGTGTGTTACAAGCTTCCCTAAACGGCTTTTTATTAGGAGACGGGAGAAGAGAACGTTACTGTGTACAGAACAGTGTTGGGTAAGTTACTCTAAAAAAGTAATTAATTACTAGTTACTAATTACCTCTTCAACAGTGTAATTAGATTACTGTACTAATTACTCTCTCTAAAAAGTATTTAATTACTTTTTATTACTAATTACTTTCAAAATCCCATATCAATCTCAAACAGCTGAATAATACAAGGATAGACATGAATCTGTTTTAATTTTTTTCAAATAAATACTATAAAATTGCATGAATTATCCTTAAACTGACCAAGGTGGAGAAGGTTACATTATATAAACATACTTTAACATACATTAACATACAGACAATACATTTGATGTTAAACCCACTATTGTTTTATGTCTGATCTCATGACATTTCACACTTTTTTCATCCATATTTTACAATAATTCATACGAATTCGTACGAGTGCGGTCGTAACATTTAGACACCTCATAAAATGCATACGAATCGCTGTGAGATCGGATTGATCTATACACAGTATTTATTTACCTCAATTACATCAGAAGTAACTGTAATTGAATTACAGATAAATGAAGAGTAATCCCTTACTTTACATTTTCAAGGGAAAAGTAATTAAATTACAGTAACTAATTACTTAGTAATTAGTTACACCCAACACTGGTACAGAATAATAATTCAGCCCAAGCCGATCTGATAAAGCAGGAGCTGCTACACACAAGGTTATTTCAACACAGCTCCAAACACAGACGGGTCGAGGCTCGTGAAGAGTGGCAGTGCTCAGTGTTGTAGGTCTCGAGACCATATTTTAATGGTCTTGGTCTTGTCATGGACTCGTGTCCATTTGGACTCGGAATTGACTCGTACTCGAACATTCTTTTTTTTAGGACTCGGACTTATTCCCGAGTCCACTCGAGTTCAATTCAAAATATTTTTCATGATTATTAATGTATGTTAATAAAATATTTCTTTAAATTGATTGACACGCCCAGTGATTGGCGATTTTCTAGTGCGCAACTGCGCATGACAAATTGTAATAAAATTACTTTTAACACCACCTACTATGTGGCCTTTTTACCCTAAACTGATCATATTTTTTAAACTCTAAGTAAATTCAATAAAATAAAAAAAAAGGATTTCTCTAAGTAAATAAAAGTAAATTAGGTAATCAACCCTCACTGGTCTCGGTCTCGACTCGGACTCGAGTGAGGTGGTCTCGACTACAACACTGGCAATGCTTTAAACTACACATTCATCAACAGTAATAAGATCAGAACAAACTCAAATCAGTTTTCATTAATAGATATTTTGTTGTATGTAAATGACTTTCAGAAGGAATTTTCCCAGCTGATGAACAATAAAAATATCGACAGCCAATCAGAATCCGCTCTGTTTAAAAGAGCTCGAGCATTTAAAGGGGCAGCAATATCATACGCTAATATAGAGGGTATGAGCGTGACGCAACACATATAAAGTGGGAAAGAGCTTTGCGATTGACTGTACAACTAGATTTGACAAGGTATATTTTTATAGACTGATATAGAAAGAGGAGCAAATGGATCGAAACAACTGGACTCCAGTCAGCGAAAGCTGGATTTGCATCATTTTGTGTCAATATGCTGAATTTAGCTGGAAAACCATACCCATATATTAACAACTCATCAATTAAATATTTATCATTGCATGTTCTGCATTATTGGATGTTTTTTTAATAAACACTGACAAAAAAAACTAAAGTTTTATGGCTGGACGATATGATGATATAGGCTATATAACACTGATATAAGTGATCACCCGGATTCAGACCGACCTATATTGTATTTATATAAAGCGTTCACAGGCAAATTTGCTTTATGTTTAGGTCTATATTGCTTTTATTTCAAGAGATCTCCACGACGCATGCGCAAGAAGAACTGAACTGAAGTAGTCGAAGGAGATGGCAAATCTCTTGAACTCTCGTCTCAGGCCTACAAGGAAGAAAAGGAATAGTCGAATAAAGTCATTATTTTTGTTTGTTTTTTCGCACAATAAGTATTCTCGTCGCTTGATAATATTATAGTTGAGTCACGTGGAATTTTTAAACATTTTCTTCATTGACTTTCTGGGCCGTCAAGATTCAATCCCTTAGGTCTGCTGGGGAACTTCATGAAAATTGATAAAATATTAAACAGGTTTCAGAAACATTTTCTGGAGATAGCTCTAGCAATGCTGTCTCATGGAAGTCTGATTCCCCGCTATCTATAACTAGGTGGTATTTAGAAATGAATAGAAAAAAATAACATATAACCTTAGAAAGGGATACAATACTTTTATTAAAATCTGGCAACCCTATCTAGATAATGTGATATTAGAATGTGACTGACCTTGAGGACATTGTTACATTACATTTCTACAGCATGCGGGACGGTGAGTAATTAATTAATGACTTCATTTTCATTTTTGGGTGAACTAACCCTTTAACCAAATACTTTTTAATCTTCACTATTGCTTCAATGCAAATGAACAAGTGCGCCGTTATTTGTTGCGTAATGACGTGTGTGTTCAAGCAAGCCAGAAATGCGCAAATCCTCTGTATTTAATATATCATGATGACTCACGAGTTGAGAGTTTGCACTAAATCTGCGCAGATTTGGTTTACACGAAATTCCCCAGAATAAGTAACACGCCAAATTAGCTTGTGATTTGACAGCGTTGATTTTTACCCGCATTTTACCCGGTTAAAGGAGTAGTTCACTTTTGAAAAACCTTTTGCTGATAATTTACTCACCCCCATGTCATTCGAGATGTTCATGTCTTTCTTTCTTCAGTCGAAAAGAAATTAAGGTTTTTGATGAAAACATTCCAGCATTTTTCTCCATATAATGGACTTCAATGGGGACCAAACGTTTCAAGTTCCAAAAGACACTTTCAGTACAAACTGCAAACTGTTCAAAGGGCTTTAAACGATTCCAGACGATGAATAAGGGTCTTATCAAGTGAAACAATCGCTCATTTAATAAATGAAGTTTTATAAAAAGTTTTATAAGCACAAACGCTCACCTTGCTCTGTTCTGTGATGCGCGTTCGTGACTCTCCTGTTCGAACTTGTTCATCATAATGAACAAATCTTTTTCATTCAACGAACGAAACGAACAAATTGACTCGTTAAAAGATTCGTTCATTTTACAGGGGAGTCACGAACGCGCATCACAGAACAGAGCAAGGCGAGCATTTGTGCTTATAAAACTTAAACTTTGTTATCTTTTTTTTAAATGAGCGATCGTTTCGCTTGATAAGACCCTTATTCATCGTCTGGAATCGTTTAAAGCCCTTTGAACAGTTTGCAGTTTGTACTGAAAGTGTCTTTTGGAACTTGAAACGTTTGGTCCCCATTGAAGTCCATTATATGGAGAAAAATGCTGGAATGTTTTCATCAAAAACCTTAATTTCTTTTCGATTGAAGAAAAAAAGAAAGACGTGGACATCTTGGATGACATGGGGGTGAGTAAATTATCAGCAAAATTTTTTTGAAAAGTGAACTACTCCTTTAATTTCAAACCCTGGTTGAAATGGTACCTGAAATCCTCCACGACCTGCGACTGAGTGTCTGCGGTGCCGGCGACAGAAAGGGCCCTCTGAGGGTGAAAGACAGGATCTGTGGCTGGAGGTTTGTATGATGGGGTCTGAGGAAGAGAGGCGGTCCTCATTGTAATGTGGCTCCGAGCCATCGCAGCGTGTCCTGAAATCTTCTGTCCAGCCGAACTCGGAGGTCCATGACTGACATTAGCAGCGTCGAGTTGAGTTTGAGCTTCTGACGGGTTGTCGGGGCCAGTCGGGGTCGTCTGCTGCGGTTTGGGCTCCGATACGTCGATCGATCCTTCCACTCGCGGGGTCCTCTGGGGCCGTCTGGGCCGGGCCGGAGCCGCTGCTGGTGTAGAAGTGGCAGGAGAAGATGTGGAGGACGCTTCTGCCGGGTCTTTTGCTTGTGCAGATGATCCCACATCATTAGTTTTACACTGGCTTTGAGTTTGCTGCTCTGGGTCCATTGTGATCTGGCAAAAAAAAGCACAACGGTGAATCAATCAGCATGTGCATTTCAACAACTAACTTTACTTTTTAACTACATTTTGCCTAATCCCGGACTAAAAATGCATGTTTGAGCTGAAAGAAACTTGCTCTTGCATCTTAACCCTAAAACCGTATTCTGGACAAATGTGGGGAAAATAGTTTTGATTTATTTTTAAAAAATACTTCCCTTGATCTGAGCGGTACTTTTCCTAAGTTTGCCACCAAGAATATTTCAATTGAAAATTTTTTACAAGACAATTGCAACTAAAAAAAAGTTATATTTATACCACATTGAAAATAATCCAAATCGCAGATTTTGTGGAGTAGAAGAGGAAGACCTGTGGCATTTATTTTACTTTTGACCATTTGTAAATAAATTCTGGTCAAGTGTCCAAGTTTGGTTAAAGACGAATAGAATAGAACTCATAACACCACAAACGATTGTACTTGGTCATTTTACAGGTAGTTTTCTTTTGTTAAATACCATTTTATTAATAGGGAAAATGTTTATTTTTAAAACAAAAACATCATCAAGCTTGTGTTTAGATCACTTTAAGAATGTTTTACGGTCACATCTTCGTTTGGAAAAGATAATAGCAGAAAGTAAAAATAGAATGGATGAATATAATAAAAAATGGAGTAATATTCTATGTATATTATAATTATATGAAATTTTGTAGTTTTTCCTATCTTTTTCATATCATATTTATTCTTCTGTCGTAATATATTTGTAAAGTGTGTCTATCTTTTCTCATGTATGTTCTGGGGTATGAATGTGAGGATGAATGTATAAGCATGTAGAGTTTCTGTCTGTAAAGTGTATTTCTTATTAAATAAAGATTCAAATAAAAAATAAAAAATAAAAAAGTTTGCCTCCTGAACACACACAATTTTTTTTTTTACTCAATTCTACAAAAACTCCTTAATCTTGTATTTGGGTCAAAAATGGGCACCCATAGAAATGAATGGGAAAAACTGTAATTTAGAGCATTCTAAAATAAGCCAAAGTAAGACACCAAAGTCACTTCATCTTTAGGTTTCAGCTCTAAGAACTTATTAGAATTAAATTTTAATGTAGTTAAAAAAATGTAAAAATAAAACATAAAAATAAGCATAATTTACATAGAAAATATGGTACTTTTTGAAGTAAATAAATTCAAAAATACCCCCGAAATAAAAACAAACACCATAAATGGATAGACAAAACTTTATCGAAGACAGTGATATAACATTTATAATAAATAAAAATTAGGATCACACCTGAGTCCACAATTACAAGGATTAAGGGCTATAAAGTGAATACAGTTTGAGGGCTACAATATGTCAGTTCCATTGTTTCGTATGAAGATTCACACCTGTAATGTTTTGTTTTTTCTATGGCACGTTCATAAAATGCCCCCATTGAACTAAGGCCTAATCCTGGATTAATCTAAACCCTGTCTTTGAAACCAGGTGCTATACCCTGAAGCCAGTTTAGGTGGCTAGCCAGCTATGTTTCAGTTTAGTTTGTGCCAACCCTGGGTTTTAGGTACCATGAAAGTGGTTTGGCTTTTAGCAGTGTTCATCGCCATAGTAACTTACACTCCACGGCTAACCTGGTCCGGGGCAGGTTATGTTCACTTACTACTTAAACCATTACTATTAAACTATTACTATTACATTATTGCCCTTTTTAAAAGTGTGTTAACAAACATAGTCATAAGAGTGTACTCTCTTTTAATGCACTGTAGTGTCTTTTATTTCATTAATATTATATTGTCAATGTCTGCAAATGCAGGTTTTGTATGAAAATACAGTAAGATGTGATGTACACTACAAGTGCACATTTAAGGGCACTTCTTTTTCACATAGGACTGCCTGGGCAACACAAATGTGCAAATGAGATACACACATCCTGGGATGACTAAGCCATTGAGGGTGGTCAAGGGTCAAGGCCACTGATCCCCTTCGCTTGGCCAGGAGAGTTAATGGATAGCTAGCATAGCGACTTCCACTGCCTAGCTGTATTTAAATCCCTGTAATCCTCTTGGTTAATGTTTTTCCATCTAAAACAGGTTTTTCAGGTTGAAATAACACGGGTTTGCATAATCCTACATCTTAAAAGATTTTTAAAAGCCTCTTTAACAGAAACTCAACCATTCAGAAGTCAAAATCTTTTTGAAAGAAGTCTCTTATTCTCACCATATATTTACTGTAACTGTGTCTATTCAAATCTATTTAAAAATGTCATTTATTCCTGTGATCAAAGCTGAATTTTCAGCATCACTTCAGTCTTCAGAGTAGAGCCCGACCGATAAAGGATTTTGAAGGCCGATACCGATACAAATATTTGTTGGTTTTAAAATACGATATTCCGATATATCGGCCAATATTTTCATTTACATTTTTTATTTCAGAAACGCGCAATAAAACATTAACAGATTTCCCTAACATCCCCATCAGTTTTTATAATTGTTATTCAAGCAATGTATGTATCGTGACCAACTCAACGAGTGTTGCCAACAGGGACGGTGTAGAGTGCCCTCTGGTGGACAAACTATATAACTCCAACACTCATGACATGGTTCAAGCGTGTTTCGTCCATTTTTTTTTTTTAATATTCATTTATCGGCCATTATAACTGCCGATACCGACAGTTTGGAAAATGCCAAATATCGGCCGATAAATCGGTCTGGCTCTACTTCAGAGTCACATGATCCTTCAGAAATCATTCTTTTGCAACATTATACTGTCACTTTTCATCAATTTATGCATCCCTGCAGAATAAAAGTTTAATTTCTTTCAATAACAAGAAATTATTGACCCCCAACACCCCAAACTTGAATTTTAGTACAATATTCAGTATATTACACTGAAAACAGTTACCGGTAATATTCAATTGCTTGACGTGATAGCTTAAGGGTAAATCATACCACAGAAGCTCTTCCAAGGTGATGGGTTTCATCTCCAGCTCGGAGGGCTTCTATTCTAGTGTGAGCTCTCTGAAATGACAGCTGACGGACTGGACAAAAAACTAGACTAGACAACAGACACAGCTGTGAACGTTCCCTGCCCACAGGAAAACACTGCTTATAGTTGGGTCAAAAACTCTCCTTGCTTTGTTGCAAATACCAAAAATGATTAATCGCTGTCTCCTAGAGTAGACTCTAGTTATTAATAAGGAATGTTACTGCTGTGTACTAGAAGTGAAAAATACCACTGTCTTTAAAGATGTCATATCGATCACAATTTCAGTATGGAGTACCACAAGGCTCAGTCATAGGACCGTTGTTTTTCACCCAGTACATGCTTCCCTTGGGAGATATCATTAAGAAGCATGGCGTTAGTTTTCTCTGTTATGCTGATGATACTCAGCTCTATTTTCCTCTGCGCCCTAACGAAACATCCCAATTCACAAAATTAAAGGGATGCTTCACCTCTGGAAAGATGAATGTGTATTTAAAATGGGTCATTTATGTAGAAGAAACGTGAACTTATTTTTGAATTTGGATCTTTCTAGACTGAGAAAAGCCAGAAAATGTATTTTTGGCTGATGTGGATGAAAGACAACAACTCCCAGAATGCACTTGCTTCACTGCCCTAGGAGGCCACGCCTACCGGTAACAGAGCGCAGTAGGTAAACAACAAGTCTAGGCTACTAGTGAGTCTCCGTGATGAGTCTGCCTGAAAATGTGTTTCCAAATCGCCCGAAATGTCCGAAATTCGGCTTTTGCGTTCTACAGTCGCCGTTCATCATGTTTACTGTGGCGAGCGGGACGAGCGAGGGCCGCGGGAGAACGGCGCGAGGCCGGTGGCGTGATTACCGATGAGCGACACCTGTGAGACGCACCGGTCTCGTATCTCTCACGGAGGAGCGGGAATTTTCTTAGCAATGTTAAAACGCACATCAACCGATCACTTGTTTAGCGTTCATGTAAACACTAGATTCAGATTCACCAATCGGAATGAATTCAGTTAGATTGAAACAAAAGCTGTGCATGTAAACAATGAATGGCGACTGCAGAAAGCAAAAGCTGAATCCCGGACATCGACGGCCGGACAAAAAGAGAATGGTAACCCCGACTACTCAGCTTTCTCCACAGAACAAGAGCCTGCTAGCTTAGCTTCCAAACAAAGATGGACGACACTATGTGTTCATTCTCTGAGTGAGATCGCCCTCTATGGGCGGGTTGAGGACATGCGGGACAGACCCGACTACTGACTGTAGTCTTTAGCCTTCGGACAAAAATACTCAGATGACGCAAAATTAAGATTTTTGCGTCATCGGAGGATTTTTTCCAGAGAAAAAATACATAAATCTCTCGTCTCAGGGGAATATGAGGGTGGAAAGCACGGTAATTCAAAAATACTACAGGTTTCCTACTAATACAAAGCTTAATGCTAAATCCTAAAGTATCCCTTTAACGGAATTCGAATTCTTCTAATAAAATAGCAATAAAATAGCAACATGATCAAAACTTGTCCCGTGTGTGACACACCAGCAGGCTTCATCTCTTAATCATCATTGTTATTGTATTGCATGATATGTTTTGCCATCCAAAATATGTTTGATAATAAAACCAACTAAGCATTTAGATATTACCTTATTAGGAGAAATTATTGGGAGATGATAATTATATGTATTTTATGTACTGTAAGTAGGCTACTATACTGTTATAAAGATATTACTGATTTACATTACAAGCTATCAGAATTTCATCTTACTTTTTGGCCATAGAAATATCAGCAACGGCACCAAATTGCAGATCAGTTGCATAAAACTGTCTGTGTTTTTTCATCCTCGAGTATGAGCTCCATATTCGCATTAAATCAGACTCAATATGATATGAACCTAAAAAAATATGAAACACATTTGCAAACCTTTTAAAATGTTTTTTTAAAGCCCAATAAAGCCTAATTTTAAAAGCTTCAACCTGTTCATCATATAAAGCGATCGAGTCTCTTTTCTACACTCAATTCATATGGATTAGTTTTCCGATCTCTTTATGAACTTTTGTAAGCGTCAAAGTGGTCAATGGAGGGACAGAAACCACTCAGATTTCATCAAAAACATCTTCATTTGTGTTCTGAAGATAAATGAATGTGATAACACCAGGATGAGGGTGCGTAATTAAAGAAAGAATTAAAATTTTGGGGTTATATTATTAATTCTACATTACATTCTATCCCTTAAAGCCAGAATAAATGCTAAAATATTGATACAAACATAATGTTAAATATTTAGACACAGTCATGTGTCTTTGTATTTGCACAGTAGTCCTGGTCTTCACCTCGCTGTGCTCTGTGTTCCTCTGCCTGACCGGCTTTCCTTGTATTGACAAGATTGCTACAGTCAAGCACACGACTAGACGTATTTGCCTATCGGTGTGGAATAACGCAAAGCATGTGACCAGCAGAAAAGGAAAAGAGACAAAAATACAGACTCCATGTACTAGCAATGCTGACCCCAAATGGAGTGAGTCATTGTGTATGTATTTGATTATGCATATACACACATACACCCACATGAAATTCTTGCAGTGAATCATTGTGTATGCATTTGAATATGTGTGTGTAGATAGATAGATAGATAGATAGATAGATAGATAGATAGATAGATAGATAGATAGATAGATAGATAGATAGATAGATAGATAGATAGATAGATAAAGCTTGAAAAATTAGATGTTCATGGGGGTGGAATGAATGAGATTCAATACTTCATTAAAATTGAGTGAACCATTATAAAATCTAATTAAAATCATTCCAAATTAGTTAGCTAGCTACATAAGGTGCACTGTTATTTTATCAGTGATTTTATAGATAGTCTATCGTGCCAAATATGACATTTGAGCCATGGTTAAACACATTAGGTCAGAAACTGAGAAAATGCTGAAGGTCACCTTAATGTGCATTATGACCTACTTGTGTGTTTTTCCTTAGAGGATGTACGAAGAAGCTTTTGAACCATTCGGTATCTGATAACACTAATTGTATTACAAGGATGTGTGTGAGCTTTCAACCTCTGAATAATGCCACAGATGCACATGCACACACGCGCGCGCGCACACACAAACACACATTGATTAATATCCCACATTTATGCATTCAAAAATGTTTAATAAACACAAAATAAAACCCCGACAACATGCAACAATAGTTAAACACAGCTTAAGTAGTGAGAAAGAAACAGCATAGGGTGTATAGATTATTATTATGTGGGCTACAAGTTATTCATCATATTTATGCAATCACTATGCATGTTTGCACTTGTGTTCTGACACATATTACAGTTTTACGCAATTATAGTGACTTTCTTACCCAATTTCCTCGATCAAGGCAGGCTGAAGAGAACTGATGGTGTGTTGACAGGAGATCTGATGTGAACCGCTGGAAATAACCAGACTTACTGATAAATATATTCAAATAGCTTCGCGGATATCAAAATAGCTCATCATCATGCGACAACATCGGTTGAGCTGGTGGAAGTGAAAGCGCGTTCAGATCCAATGTGTCACATCAGTGCCCGTTCTTCCTGATCCACTAACAGCGAAAGACCTTGAGGTTTACTGGAAGGAGAAAATAGGTCGCTAAAGGCGAGTGCATTTCATCTGCAGATGTCGCGGTGTTCTTCGACGTGAGCTCGTTTCGCGTTCAAAGAAAAGCGTTGTGTCAATGACAAGACGTGAATGTTCACTGTTGTCCTTCAGAGCTGCTCGCGTTTCATGCACTTATTGCACCAGAGCTCCTGGCGTTGCTTTCGTCAGAGATGTAATCATCACCGCGGACGAGGCGCACTTGTCACATGGTATTCCGCTGAAGCTCCGCTATAAAGATTAGATTTGCATTTCCTCTTGAAGGCAGCGAAAGTGTTATAGTTGTAGGTTTGGTCTTGGAATAGCAGGCTTTGTTTTGGTGTAAATAATGAAATGCCGCATGAGAACGCTTTGCTGTTGTCATGACAATCAGCGCGCTTCTTTTTCTTTTTTCTTAATCAACACAGAGTAAAGACCGAGCATGCAAGAATCAAAAATATTGGCGATTCGATAAGATAATTGTTGATAATTGTAAAAAGTTTTAAATGAAATTGTAGAAACTTTAATGTTAACGTTATAATTTTGCACAGGCAAGGTTCAAATCATAGGCATACTTTTTTGACCCTTTTCATTTTCTATCATTAACCCCTTAGCTGTCACCAAACCCCCCTCCTCCCCCCCCCCCCTTTGAGAATGGGGGTTAAAATGTACTATTCAAACTTAAATGGTTGTAATTTAAGAATGCTTTGAAATATATACCCAAGTTTGGTCTTGTTTTAAAGAAAACACTCAGCAGATTATTGCGGAAGTGAAAACACTTCAAAAAATGAAAGTATGAAAAAGTTATGGAAGTTTAAATTTACAGTAAATCAAATATACTGGACTATATATTTTTTATTTTATATAAAATATATATTTTACAAAATATTTTTACTCTAAAATTTCTATAAAATCAAAGCCATAAATCTTATCAGTTATGTTCCAAATTTGAAGTTGATATCACAAAAATTGAAGTTCCCATGAGATTTTGTTTAGGCGTAGTACCAAAAATAGCCACCGGGTGCCATTGAATTCCATTGAATTTAGTTGTATACATTGTGCCTTAACAAATTAATAAATTTCTGTCCAAATATCAATTCTGTCACAAAATTTGGAACCTTGAGACTCTGACCTTTCTGACAATATCAATTTTGTCAAGATTAGAAAAGGTTTTGATCATAAATTATGAAATATAATGACGCCCAAAAGGGGAGGAGCCTGATAAAACAAGTACCGTTTCTATGGTAACGAAACTTTCAATTATAAAACAGTTTTCACACGATGAATTCTGAGCTTTCAAATGATACCTAATTTATGATAACTACTAAAATATGTTATATAATAAAAAAGGCGATAAAAAAATAATATTATATTTTAGAGGATAATAAATATAAATATTATCATTTTTTGAGGATAATATTATACTATAATTTTAAATTTTTTATTGAAAAATACTAGATTATATGTTTTATTATGAACTTTTAGCATAAAAACAGAAGTTTCAATGATTAAAAGTGGGTGCATCGACTTTTTGTGACAAAGGTCAAAACTCCTGTTATGATGCAGATTTTTTTGAGGTGCACTCTTGTCATAAATTCATCAATTACTCTTCCTACATCTATTTTTAACACAAAACAGGGGTAGAATATCTATTTAGAAGTCTTAGACCTTTCCAACGACATATAATTTGTCATAATTAGATTAGGATTTAATAGAAATATAGTGAAGTAAAGTTAGGTGTCCCGGTACCGGGACGGTGACAGTTAAGGGGTTAAAATGAAGAGGTCACAAGTTTACTATGGTGTACCGCAAGGCTTAGTACTAGGACCGTTGCTTTTCCCCCTAATAAAAGGCATCGGTTGTACATGTCAGCTTGCTTATTTTGCTCAAGATAAGGATTTATTACCTCCAAATGTCATGCAATATATAGAAACTATGCCTCTAGCCACAGGTCGAGAGCTGTCGTTCAAAGTCAAACCACATAACTTTGCGATGCTGTTTGCGAATGTTCGTTGTGTGAACGATGGTTTTGGGAAACACCGACTCGTTGAACTATGCGAATGACGGAACTTGCGAAATGTCCTACTACTTAATTCTGAAAATAAAATAAAACTAGGCTGGGGTGCGTTTCCCGAAAGCATCGTTAGCCAACTATGGTCGCAAGTTGTGTCGTTATTAGCATAGTTCAATGAGTCGGTGTTTCCCGAAACCATCGTTCCAATGAACATTCGCAAACAGCATCGCAAAGTTGTGTGGTTTGAACGACACTACGACAGCCACAGCATCAGCATCGTTTCTATATTGTAACACATTTGGACGTAATAAATCCTTATCTTGAGCAAAATAAGCTAGTTGGCATTCAGTACAAACAGTGCATTTTATTTAGAATAAATACAAATGATATTTACATCTTTTAGTTTGTCAAAAGGTTTAATGTAACGTGTTTGAAGAGTGTGCATGTACGAACATGCTCTAGCTACGAGCCAAATATTGAGTCTGGTAATAAAGCAAAACAACTGAGAAAAATTAGAAATAGTCCTCAGATTAATATGTCTTTAATTTATATAAAACAAATCTAGCGTTAATTAGATCTCAGTTTCATTAAAAGTAGTTATTATTCCACCACGTGCGAAACCAACGTGGTTGAACGATACTTTGCGAAAATTGGGTTTCGGGAGTTGTGAAAAACTAGTTGATTCCTCCACCGATGCATCGTACTGTGGAAGTGAAGCAGCGAACTACGTCGTTGTACGGGAAACGCACTCCAGAGTGTGTTTTTTTCGTCTTCCTCCAGACATACCGCTGATCCATAGGGCCAAAAAGGTTTTCTATCACTCCATAGAACAGAATCCCAAAACTTTGTCTTACTTATATGATTTTTAGCAAATTGGAGGCAGTATTTCCTACGCTATCTCACGACCAATTCGTACGAATTCGACGCATGATTAAAAAGTGTCTAATTCGTACGACCTCACTCATATTAAATTTGTACGATTTGTATAAACCCACGTGATGGTTAGGTTTAGGGGCGGGGTAAGGGGTAGGTCATTCGTACGAATTCATACGAATTAGCCAATTCATAAAATATGTACGATTTAGCAAAACCGTACTAATTCGTACAATTGAGGTCGTACGAATTAGACACTTTTTAATCATGCGTCGATTTCGTATGATTTGGTCGTGAGATCGGGTTGGTATTTCTTGTGCTTGGATCAGTAGCGGCGAACGTTTTGGAGTTCTGTCATTGAAAGTACAGACCACTGTTCCTTTAACTTTGAACTCGCGAACTATGCTTCCAACGGTGTCTCTAGGAACAATTTGTGCCTTTGCTATCTTTTTGAATCCTGTTCCTTGTTTGTGAAATGCGGTGATATCTCTAATGACCATATTTGTTTATTATTTAATTGATTTAGCCATATTTATTTCTAACATACAGTCAAACGTGACTCTCAACAAACCTACACAGATGTTTCATGTGTTTTAGCTCAAGCACACCTGGTGCAACTAATGAAGCCCTTGATCAGGTGTGCTTGAGACAACACCTGTTTTACAGATTTGTGCTGTTGTGAGGGATTCTATTCAGGGGGTTGAATCATGAATCCACAAGTCATTAGAAATGATTAAAAAGTGACTAATTCGTACGACCTCACTCGTACGAATTTGTACGATTTGTTTAAACCCACGTGATGGTTAGGTTTAGGGGCGGGGTAAGGGCTAGGTCATTCGTACGAATTCATTCGAATTGGCCAATTCGTAAAATATGTACGATTTAGCAAAATCGCACTAATTCGTACGAGTGAGGTCGTATGAATTATTACGAATTAGCCACTTTTTAATAATTCGTCGAATTCGTACGACTTGGTCGTGAGATCGGGTTGAATTTTCAGTTAAATTTGGGGAAACCACTTGAAACATTTGTTGTGTTGAGCTATTTCAATTACTTTGTTTGATTTGTTCATTGCAAACAGCTGAAAGTCTGTAAATTGTGCCAATAAACCTGATTTACAATGGGGGGTTGAATAGTTTTGATTACAACTGTATATGATAGTACTGAAGTGTTCCTTGTAATATATAGTTGTGGAAAGTGAGCAATTTATGCGGTTATGTAAGCTGAAACCGCCACTGGTCAGATACAGTGTCTTCTACAGGCAGTATTTCACACTCCGGTGCACCGTAGACTTAAGTCAGCTTTACACAAACAGAGACACTGATGTTCACTACAGAGTATTAATCCCTGTAAGTTTCTCAACATTTCAAAATAATCTTCTTTATTTTAACATTTAATAGAAGATGTAACACTACACTAATACTAATAATACTACAGCTGTTGAATGCAATCACAGTCAATAGGATAAGAGGTTATGATGCAAGGAAAGGCTGTTTCGAAGCATCCTTGTATTTGAGAGATGTTCAGGCATCGTGAACCCAGAATACTCCTGTAATGACACAGGCATGGGGTCTGTTTGCCTGACACTGAACTGCTATTTAAAACACCACAGATGTTTGTCTATAGAAGCATCTAGTCAAAAACAAGACCTACAAAATCTTTTTATTTCTTATTTTATGATGATTTGCATAATCAACTATAACATCAGATCAGGCAGAAAGGGAATTTCAGTTTTTGCTTATTCATCAACACAATTATTTCTCAAACATTTTAGGGTGGATTCCATCTGAAATCACCGACTCACAGAAAAACTACTTATTAAACCTTGCTGTAACGTTTGTAAACCAGACAATATGACTTAAACTCGGCATGAAACTGAAATCTTCCATTTGTGACATATCAAAGTGAAATGGCTTCTCGAACAAGAAAAATTTACGTTGTCAGAGATGCCGCGACAGGAGGGAGAGGAGGAAGATATTTTGAATAAAGAATAAAAAAGTAAGGAAGAAATGTACAAGAAATGTAAATTTGAATTCACATGTAAAATAACTCATTTTAATATCTTATCATATTTGTGATGTATATTTAGTGTATTTCTAAATACACTATAAAAATATGGTTGGTTTAACTTAAACAATTAAGTAACCTGGTTGCCTTAAAATTTTAAGTTCATTGAAATGGAAAAAATGAGTTAATACAATGAAGGAGATTGATTTAATCATTAGAAACTCGAAATATTATGTTATCTGAACCACATACATTATTTAAGTTGATTTGACAAAAGAAAAAATGTTGTGATTACAAATCATAAACATATTTTTTTAAAGTGTACATGAATGCATGTATGAGTATTTCTTCTGATGATTTCAAAGAAAACCCATACAAACCAAGACGACAACCAACAATGAACCAAGATGGGCTGTAACTAAAGGCGTTTTAAGGTGACAATCCATTATAAATATGAATTATGAACTGTATCTTGAGAATTATATTGTTATTGTATCTTGATGAAGATTGACATTTTGTTCATTAAAACATAAGCTCTAATGTTGTAAACAATAAAAAAAAAGTATGTTCTGTTGTGTTTTGACCACTTTTTGTATGTTTTAACAAACAAAAAACTCTTTTAGAAGGGTTAACCCCCCCGCCTCTGCAAACCAGAACATACTCTCACACAAACCAAACACTGAATTTTTATCATTTTATCACCAAATCCGTAGTCCCATTTCACTCTTATGGGGAATTTCTCTCTCTGCCTCTAGATAGCGATAGATGTTCCCTTCACAAACAGAAGGAAAAAAGAGAAAGAGAAATATGAGCTCCGTGACGTGGCAGAGTCAGTGTGTGAGAGTGTGAGACACACACAGAAGCTTCAGCTCGAGCATCTTCAGCATGTGGACGATCATCTTCACTGCCCTGCTTCCATCCTTCATCCTATCATATGAAGTGGACACCAAAAAACTCAATGGTCTTGCGAAGGCCAGAGTGGAGGTGAGCAAAGCATTTCATTCAGCTTCAATCTCCGGACGGATGAAGGATGAATGCGTTCAGAATCAAGACATTCGGCTTGTAAACAGAATTTACATGAAGACACTTTTTAGCCAGCTTGTGTACCTAGCCATTTGTTTTAATCAGCAAGGCTCCGACGTTTCAACGCAATGTTTTTCATGAACGTGTAATCCCTAGAGTAGCCTGGAGACATTTAATTAGGACATATCATTTACATAATATCATGTCTCACTTGTGAACAAAAAGCGATTTATAATGGCTCGTTATGACAGGGGTTTAGTCTTTAATATTTAAAAGCTGGGTTTTGTTTCTGGGTCAATGCACACTATTTTACTGAAGGATAACGTTACTAAAATGAAATCTACAGTGTTTTGCTGCCTGCCGCATTAATTAGTTCAAAATATTGAATGTCAAAATATAGGTCTGTAATATTCACGTGTCAAAATAAAAGTCCGGTTATTGCCTGAGGAAAGCATTATAAAAAATACCACAAATGCTTAGAAAAACAATATACAAAAATCCTGGTCTTCGAATTTGATTGGCTGAGCGCTGATATACTACACTACAATGTCATTGAGACTTTCCACTGTTTTTATTTTATTTTCCAGACAGATTTTCATTTTCAGTCTAGTATTAGTGGTAGGGTTTTCGTTGACTCTTACCGCAGATTACACATTACACCAGTAGAAATGATTGTCTATATGAGTCAACTATTTGTTCAAAATCTCAGAATCAATGGGGAATGAAACAGTGTTATTCAGAGATGCATGACCAACTTTCTTGATAATATTGTGTCTAAAATGTAAGTTACTTGTAACTTCTTGTTTATTAAAAAATTGTACAATAGCAATATTACACTTAATTGTACTGTAAGTTATTTTTTTGATTTCTTTGTAAGCCAAAAAGCATCAAGTTTGCATGTGTGAGAGTGGAAATCATGTTAAAATGGGCTAAAATCCACTAAAATCTTGAACGCAGACAATGTTATACTAAATGTCAGCACTCGTGGCTGATCAAATTAGTTTTCTAAAACTTTTTTCCCCCAACTTTTCCCTTCAGACGTGTGGTGGATGACAGCTGAATAGGCTGAGGGAGGTAAGTAATGCGATATTGACTTAAATATTTTCTGCTGACAAAAAGTATTAGTAAAAACTTCATGAACTCACTTGGTTATGCAGAATTATATTCTCCTTTCTCCTCTCGATTCATTACAGGTCAAGGCCTTTGTGACCCAGGACATTCCTCTTTAGTATCCTTTATAATCAGCATATGACCAGTCAATCTGTTCTGGAGCACAAGATTCCCAATAAAAATTAAAATAATAAGGGTACGATTACATGACAAAGGTTTGCAAAATAACAGAAACGTTTTTCCTTTTCGTTTTTTGCGCAAAACACCGATGTCGTTTAAATTAACAGCTTAAATCTTTTTTAATGATTTTTTTCAAATGATATTTTTACTATCTGCATAACATTTATTTGTCGCCAACACACATTTTAAACAGAATTGGTAAAGCAATTAATAAATACTTTTTATTGCAATAAAAAATGCTCTGTTTTATGAAACATTTAACTACAAAATAATTTAATCTATTTATTTGTCGATGTGTAAAGTGACTTAAAAAAAAAAGATTAATTCTTTCATATTTTGAATGGTCATTTCTAAAAATGTACCGCATCACAAAAAATAATAAAAGTGCCTTCTTAATAAACCATTTTTAATTTAATTTCTTTGATTTTTAAAACATTTTATTGATGTTTTATTTACACATTCATATACAGTTTTCATAATATTAAGCCTCTACAATGTTGTACAAGTATGTTTAACCTAGAATATATAAAACCTAGAAAACAAGATCTTTCGTTCTAAAATGTAGTGATCTCTTTACAGTGTTTTGTCTGGCAGTGTGTCCACTCCCTTCTCATCTTTCAGTTCCCTGTGTTTACCTCAGTTCTCGAGCTACAACATGCATCTCACAGCCGATCAGCTTCCATCTGTTCTGATAATCTTTTACAGAGTTACACATTTAAAACGGTTAACTTTCAGCTGTTCATTGTCACCTGATATCCAGTGGTGTATCCACACACACACCCTCACCTTTCGATCTTTTTTTTCTTCTCCTGGAATGCAAATACATGTTTTTACTAATGCTGTGACCGAGACAGGTGTAATTCTCAGCATTTATTTCGGATATCTGTGAGGTAGAAGACAGCTTTAAGTGTTTAGTACATCCTTAATGTTCTTCCGTTCAGCCACAACCTGGTGATGAAGCACGTTCCTGGGGCCGACCCTGAACTCGTCCTTCTCAACCACTACTATGAAGAGCTAGATGTAAGTCAAATGTGTTTCAATTTGAAATGATCATTTTAAAACAAGGATTAGCAATTTCAAACGACCAGTTGTAGAGAACACACATGCACTTGCTTTGTTCTCTGGAGTTTGAGTGTTAAGGCCCTTGCACAAAATTCGCGTCCGAAATTTTCGCACGTTAAAAAATAAATGCGACCTCACGTTATGTCAATGACGCTCCGAAACTCCGAAACTTTAGTCCGTCATAAAAAAAGAACGAATGGGGTTCGATTTTCTGCGTTTTTCGCATCCATAGCAAGCAGTTTGAACGGTGTTTTGACAATTCAGAGCCACCGAATCATGAATACGAAAAAACGCAAATGAAAATTTCAGACTCAAAAAATACACAATCCACCTTATAAGAGTTTGCGCCACAATTTCTAAACCAGTGTGTCTATTTTGACTAAGTACAAATAGCCCACCTTGTTGGCAGAGGTTATTTACAATAAAGGCCATTGCACACCGAGTCCGAAATTTTCGTATGCGTTTTTTCGTATTTGTGATTCGGTGGCTCTGAATGGTCAAAACACCATTCAAACTGCTTGCTACGGATGCGGAAAAACGCAGACAATCAAACTCGATTCGTTTTTGTTTATGAAGTACGAAAGTTTCGGAGGCAGTGTGCAAGCGTCATTGACACAACGTGAGGTCGTATTTATTTTTTAACGTGCGAAAATTTCGGACGTGAATTTCGGACTCAGTGTGCATGTGTAAGGGCCTTAACTCCGCCCACTCATGTCTGGCCCAAAACAATGCAAGATGCCGGATGTCTACAGTGTGCAAGGACCCAAAATTTTTGCATGCGTTTTTTTCGTATTCGTTGGCTCTGAATTGTCAAAACACCTCTCAAATGGTTTGCTACGGATGCAAATGTTTTTTTTTTTATGATGGACGAAAGTTTGCGTTAAGTAAACGTGATTGATACAACGTTTGGTCTTATTTTTTTTTAACGTGCGAAAATTTTGGACGAGAATTTGACTCAAGGTCCTTGTACACTTCAGTCCGAAATTTTCTTATGCGTTTTTGCGTATTCGTCATGCTGAATTGTCAAAATGCTTGCTTGCTATGGATGTGAAAAGTTCAGAAAATCAAACCCAATCCAAAATATATTTTTTTATGATGGACGAAAGTGTCGCAGGCAGTGTGTAAATGTGATTGACAAAACATGAGGTCATATTTATTTTTAACGTGCGAAAATTGCGTACGCAAATTTTATTCAATTTGCTGAACTCACTCTATCTACCCTCTTTTCCCATTACATATCAGATAGGAAAGGCATTTATTTTCAATTAAAATAATACAGGAAATAAATTGTCTTAAGTGTTTCAGGTAGGGAGGCGGCATCCATTTAATAACTTGAATAAATATGATCATTTACACTGCTATTGCATAGGCATACCATTTACTTTACAACAAATAGTACAAATCTGCCACTATTTATAAGTGTGAATAGCATCTAACTACTGTTTACATGTTGCAAAGAAAATAGGCCTACATGCTATTTTACATGGTGTAATCTGTTGCTACTTGTACTTAAATAAATAGCATCTATTAAGTAAATCTGTTAAGCATTTATTTAAGAATATAACGTTAGCATCTATTGAAAAATGTCATATTTAATGTGTCGAGACGAGCTTCGGGTCCCGCTTGCTTTAGCTGTAGGGCTAGGCAACAACAGTTCCTTGATATTTCAAATATTATGTGTATTGTAGTAATTATAATAACTGGTTTGTATTACTGCGCTTTATTATTCTTCTAATTATTTGCCATAGAGGCAATGATTCGTCCATGAATCGTCTGGCTCTGGCACTTTCACAGAAAATGGCGATCTTCCACGTTTCAAAATAAGGTGGATGATGTAATTAAAAAAAAAAACTAAAAAACGAGTAACGTTAGTGCAAGAATCCCTATGGGAAACTATGGGTTTACCCTAGTACACTTTAATTAACCTATAATAATTTATATTTAATTAGAGCTGTCGGGACGGATTTCGCGGGAATAAGCTGTACAACTAACGAGAAAAAAGTATCATAAGTAATTAAAATCGGCATACCAACCATAATCACCAGTTGTGAAACGTAAAAAACGTTTAAAATACCGTTATTTATTTATATGATTGTCATCCACGTGTATTTGCGTTTATCCATGCGCAACCAAAACCTTCAAGACTCATGCAGTTTTATTTTTTAACCTCTAGATGGGGCAAAAGATGCATAGATTCAACCTCTAAAAATTTGATGCAACACGTGTCTTCATAACCATTTCACTGATCAATGATGCTGTGTTTCTCTTCCAGAGAATCCCATTATCTGAAATGACTCGCACGGAGATACACAATCTATTGGCAGAACTGGGCTTTTATAAAAAAGAGAATCCCGAAGATCAAGTGCCCGAGGAGTTTCGCTTCTCTCCGGCGAAAGACAGTCCGTTTGAGGGCCGCCAGTCCACCAGTCCTCCCACTGAGACTGACACACACCAGTCAGATGTGGACTCCCAGCACACAGATCTGTAACCCCTTACATAAACATTGTGAGACCTGGTTGATTTACAATTACCGTGAGAACTAAAACTGAGCCAAAGTCCCTCTCTCCTTGTTAAATGTGGCTTAAAAATAGTTCACCACACATTCAACAAGTCGATTTAAGTGGCATTATTCAGTTCAGACACTGATTGAAAAATCCGCATTTTAAAGGTCAGAGTTAGTGAGTCGTATAGTTTATGTTTGTGGCAGTGAACGGTTCCAGTGTTTCGCTCTCACTGTACTGTACATAACCTTATTTCTGCCCAGAGGGACGATAATGATGTCCACAGCTGTAAAGCCTGAGACTGGCTGAGGACTGATGATCTGTGTTCTCATGGGCAGGAATCAGGCCTTCAGACTGTGGGAGCGCAAACACCACTGAGAAAATAAAGGCTTTGAATATCATCATAGCGAATGAGTGGTTTTTGATTATTATACAATAGAAACACACACACACACACACACACACACATATATATATATATATATATAAAACGGTTAGTTCCAATCCTTGATTCTGATTGGTCAATAGCTGTGCTTTATTCATGATAAAACACGGCTATGACCACTTCACCCAATGGTTCTGTTTATCACTGCACAACACTGCAGTTCTTGTGTTTTTTTTATTTTATTTGTCTTTATATCACACATTTATGGAAGAATAAAAGAAAAAAATAATAGCTACTTTATCACACAGTTGCGTGTTATAAAGTCAGAATTGTGAGAAATAAAGTCAGAATTGCGAGAAATAAAGTCAGAATTGCGAGATATAAAGTCAGAATTGCGAGAAATAGTCAGAATTGTGAAATATAAAGTCAGAATTGTGAGATATAAAGTCAGAATTGCGAGAAATAAAGTCAGAATTGCGAGATATAAAGTCAGAATTGTGAGATATAAAGTCAGAATTGTGAGATATAAAGTCAGAATTGTGAAATATAAAGTCAGAATTGTGAGATATAAAGTCAGAATTGCGAGAAATAAAGTCAGAATTGCGAGATATAAAGTCAGAATTGTGAGATATAAAGTCAGAATTGTGAGATATAAAGTCAGAATTGTGAGATATAAAGTCAGAATTGCGAGAAATAAAGTCAGAATTGCGAGATATAAAGTCAGAATTGCGAGATAGTCAGAATTGTGAAATATAAATTCAGAATTGTGAGATATAAAGTCAGAATTGCGAGAAATAAAGTCAGAATTGCGAGATATAAAGTCAGAATTGCGAGAAATAAAGTCAGAATTGCGAGATATAAAGTCAGAATTGCGAGAAATAGTCAGAATTGTGAAATATAAATTCAGAATTGTGAGATATAAAGTCAGAATTGCGAGAAATAAAGTCAGAATTGCGAGATATAAAGTCAGAATTGTGAGAAATAAAGTCAGAATTGCGAGATATAAGTCAGAATTGCGAGAAAGTCAGAATTGCGAGATATAAATTCAGAATTGCGAGATATAAAGTCAGAATTGCGAGATAGTCAGAATTGCGAGATATAGTCAGAATTGCGAGATATAAAGTCAGAATTGCGAGAAATAAAGTCAGAATTGCGAGAAATAGTCAGAATTGCGAGATATAGTCAGAATTGTGCGATATAAAGACAGAATTGCGAGATATAAAGTCAGAATTGCGAGAAAGTCAGAATTGTGCGATATAAAGTCAGAATTGCGAGAAATAAAGTCAGAATTGCGAGATATAAAGTCAGAATTGCGAGAAAGTCAGAATTGCGAGATATAGTCAGAATTGCGAGATATAAAGTCAGAATTGCGAGAAATAAAGTCAGAATTGTGCGATATAAAGACAGAATTGCGAGATATAAAGTCAGAATTGTGAGAAATAGTCAGAATTGTGCGATATAAAGTCAGAATTGCGAGAAATAAAGTCAGAATTGTGCGATATAAAGACAGAATTGCGAGAAATAAAGTCAGAATTGTGAGAAAGTCAGAATTGTGCGATATAAAGTCAGAATTGCGAGAAATAGTCAGAATTGCGAGATATAAAGTCAGAATTGCGAGAAATAGTCAGAATTGTGCGATATAAAGTCAGAATTGCGAGAAATAGTCAGAATTGCGAGATATAAAGTCAGAATTGCGAGAAATAGTCAGAATTGTGCGATATAAAGTCAGAATTACGAGAAATAAAGTCAGAATTGTGCGATATAAAGACAGAATTGCGAGAAATAAAGTCAGAATTGTGAGAAAGTCAGAATTGTGCGATATAAAGGCAGAATTGCGAGAAATAGTCAGAATTGCGAGATATAAAGTCAGAATTGCGAGAAATAGTCAGAATTGTGCGATATAAAGACAGAATTGCGAGATATAAAGTCAGAATTGTGAGAAAGTCAGAATTGTGCGATATAAAGTCAGAATTGCGAGAAATAGTCAGAATTGTGCGATATAAAGTCAGAATTGCGAGAAATAAAGTCAGAATTTTACAAAATAACTTTATATCTTTTTATATATATTTCTTTTATATATATTATATATTTCTCGCAATTCTGACTTTATATCTCGCAATTCTGAATTTATATCTCGCAATTCTGACTTTCTCGCAATTCTGACTTTATATCTCGCAATTCTGACTTTATTTCTCGCAATTCTGACTTTATATCTCGCAATTCTGACTTTATTTCTCGCAATTCTGACTTTATATCTCGCAATTCTGACTTTATATCACGCAGTTCTGACTTTACATCTCACAATTGTGAGAAAAAAAAGTCAGAATTGTGAGATAAAAAGTCGCAATAACCTTTTTTATTTTTCATCCTATGGCGGAAACAAGCTTCCATACACATTGGTTCGTTGTTGCTGTTCACGGTCAGGGACTATTTTTTCTAGCGGAAGGAAGGCTTTTAGTGATTTTATTTCATGAAAGTTGCACTAATACATTTTTTATTTTACTTTAATGTTTTTTGAAACAAGTCTTGTGTTCACAAAGGCTGCATTATTTGATCAAAAATACAGAAAAAAGTATTATAAGAGTGATTTCTGAAGGATCATCATGTGACACTGAAGACTGGAGTAATGATGCTGAAAATTCAGCTCTGATCACAGAAATAAATTACATTTTGAAGTATATTAAAATAGAAAACCATTATTTTAAACTAAAATAATATTTCACAATATTACTGTTTTTTTTATCAAATAAATGCAGGCTTGATGAGCAAAAAAAAAAATTCACGTTGCACTCATGATTATGAATCTTTAAGATTTCCTATTTCAGCAAATGCAATAATAAATAACAAACACATTTTTGGGTATCATTTATGGTTTTAATGATTACTATAAGAAACCATAGTGTAAGAAATACAGAGTGAACAGTAGTTTTTGAATAAGTGTACAAACAATTAAGTTCACCATTAATTGTGAATGAATGCTAATTTGATCTACTCATGCAGCCTTCAAGTACCAAGCGAAGTCAGTCCTCTGGTGTGGTTTCTGCAGTAGTATCTTCAAAAGTCCATGTTTGTGTCATTAAATTATGTGCAGTCATTAAAACTATTTCAACTAAATCCATCTTTAGAACCAAATATATAAACATCATTGACCATTTCAGATAAATTTACTACCAATACATTATTATTATTCTCAAATTGACTCTCTAGGGCTACTCAGACATACATACACCGTTTAAATCACACTTCTTTATCGTCTGAAAGCCGTGTGGTAAAAATTTATAAAAATATGCGAAACAGTTTTAGGGACAGACATCTCTGCTTTCAAATGAAGTTCAGGAATATGAACAAAGTATACTCATCCATAAATACACACATAAGTGCGTTTATGCAAAATACAAGGAACAAGGACTAATGTCTGACACCTCCGGGTCTATGTTCAATTACAAAACATCACTAATTCGAGTGAAAAACAGTTAAATCTCGCACTAAAATGGCTGAAGCCATAACAAGCCGTGAGATTAATGTTCTTGCAACGTTTTTAAATAAACACAATATCGTATACAGATGATTTTTTTTCTAAAACTTCAAGTAAACTTGTGAAAAAGCATGCAGGTCTGAGTACCGTGGAACAGGTTTAAAAGCGTTTAAAACCACAGATATGGGCAATCAACATAAAATAATGTTTCGTTTTAAACACGTGAAGTCAAGTAGTTACACGTCAACACATTGCTCAACACCTTGCAATTTTCTTTTTCCATCAATAAAACATTTAGGTACATTTAACCTTTTTTTGGATCATACTACCGTTCGTTTAAAACAAAAAAACAAAAACACCCAACGTCTTGTTACGGGGGGAGTGTTTGGATGTGTGTGTGAAGTAAACGATGTGAACGGTTGAAATGTAACAGGACTTCAGAAGTCAGTGCTCTGCTGAGCTCGGGCCAGCATCATCTCATACCTGCGCAGATGGTTAACCAGCGACTGCACGTACGTGAACACACACTTGGAGTCGGGTTTCTTACCCATTATCATCATGTCCTCCACCTCCACCAGGGGCATGCAGTTAGCATAGGCCCTAATGTAAAGACACAACCACAGGCAAATATTACACAACGGAAATGATTTCTACTGTGCTGTATATGCAGTGTACACACCACCAGCCTGACCGACTACTTTTAGATATATTCTCATCAGGGGTAACACTTTACTTGAAGGGGTGTGCATAAGACTGACATGACAACTGTCATTAAGTGACATTTTGAATGCAAATATGACATATTGTAGCCCTCAAACCGTATTCACTTTATAGCCCTTAATCCTGTAAGTGTGGACTCAGGTGTGATCCTAATTTTTATTTATTATAAATGTTATATCACTGTCTTCGATAAAGTTTTGTCTATCCATTTATGGTGTTTGTTTTTATTTTGGGGGTATTTTTGAATTTATTTACTTCAAAAAGTACCATATTTTCTATGTAAATTATGCTTATTTATATGTTTTTTTTATTTTTTTAACTACATTAAAATATCATTCCAATAAGTTCTTAGAGCTAAAACCTAAAGATGAAGCGATTTTGCTGTCTTATTTTTGGCTTATTTTAGAATGCTCGAAATTACAGTTTTTCCCATTCATTTCTATGGGTGCCCATTTTTGACCCAAATACAAGATTAAGGAGTTTTTGTAGAATTGAGTCAAAAAAGTGTGTGTGTGTTCAGGAGGCAAACTTAGGAAAAGTAGCCAAGTCTTGTACCGCTCAGATCAGGGGAAGTATTTTTTAAAAATAAATCAAAACTATTTTGCCCACATTTGTCCAGAATACGGTTTTAGGGTTATGGTCTCTTTATTATGACATCTTGACATAAACCAATACATCATAACCTGTCAGTGTCTTTGTCATGACAACTTGACCTAAAATTAAGTTAATCTGTCATGTGGTTGGCTTTGACATTGGCTGTCATGAGGCCATTATAACTGCGTCATGAATATTTTTCGTGGTACTAATTGAATTTGTCATCAAAAAGCTATAATGGCTTCATGACAGCCAGTGTCAAAACCAACCACCTGACAGTTTAATGTAATGTTAACCAATAAAGCTAGGTGCTTTCTTAAGTTTGATAATTAATGTTTATGACAGGTTGTGTTGTCTTGGTAATGTCAAGTTGTCATGACAAAGACACTGACAGGTTATGATGTATTGGTTTGTCAAGATGTCATAATAAAGACTTCTCAAACAATGTCATATTTGCATTCAAAATGTCATAACTGAGCGAATGACACTTAATGAGAGTTGTCATAAAACTATTTATAACATGTGTCCTGTCATAATTATAATGTGACATGTCAGTTATATGCACACCCCTTCAAGTGTTGCCAAATAATGAAACCGGTTTTGAAAATCATTAAACATTTTGTGTGCTGACATGATAAAATTGTTTTTTAAGTATAAATGGTTCAACATAAAAATATAAAGCTATTTAATATATTAGGAACCTTGCATACATTTAAATGGGATGAGGGATTAGACATGTATAGAAACCAAATATGCATTTAGTTCTGTGGGGAGAAAAAGGCTTATTTTTCCTTGTATTTTTATGAACGGATATGAAAATAAAAATCTATTTTTATGTTAGGAACCTTCCCTAAATATATAATAAATAATTTCATATTTTTTTTGTATAAATGCACATTTCAGTTTTTAAACCCTTCAAAATTCATAAAAAGTATTTACATATTTTGACCACTTTTTTTTTTTTAAAGAGTGAAACCAAATATGCGTATAGTTTTGTAAAATAAAAAGTTCTCAATAATATCATACTTGTTTTTCCTACCATAAGTCTACTTGAAAATAATGGCTAAATGTATAATATGGATGGATATATATATATATATGATACTGTATGTGAATGAGCAATTTTGTATAAATGCATATTTCTGTTTTTAAACCTTTCAAAATGCACGGCTCCATAAACATCCATCATGAATGCATTAACAAAATCAACCAACGGCACACCGGACGCGGCAGATAGAGGTTCAGTTTTATTGAATTCTGAAAAATACTTATTAAATTCAAGGTTCTTGATAGCAAACAAGCAAAGAACACAGTTAGCCTGTTTTGTGTCCGCCGTGCTCTTTAAAGCGCTAGCTATGCCGCTGTGTTTGAGATCCTGTCGTTCCTCGTGTGTGTGTGAGAGAGCAGGACCATGTTTGGGCAGTTTCTGGTCTTCACTGCAGGTTGTTGATTCCCTCCCACAAAATGCTAATCGTCAGAAACTGACACACACACGCCGAGGAAGACGGCACGGTGCGCGTGTGAGACCTTTTAAGCCGAATATCTAGGTGTGGTAAACCTGAATCTGCGCACTTGAAAATATCAAACTGAGTGAAACCTGCTAACAAATGAAGCTAGACCTTCTCAGAAATAATTACTGCAATGACGACCGGTGTGACCGTTTTAATCTCAATGTTTTCTCCCATAATGCATTCTGCTTCATGTGAAATAAAACAGCGTTTATTCATATACGTAGAGTGTATATGATTTAACACATTAAGTCCAATTCAAAAAATGTTAAATGAAGCTGCACAATATAGCGAAGTGAAATCAATAGTGCGATATGCTTCATGTGATACATAATTAATTAAATATACTGTATGAGCTGATTGAGATTATTTTGAATTGTTCCCCTAGTGAAACAAAACTATACCAAAATGTATTTAAAATACATTTCATTTCATACTAAGCATCCTACAAATCCATTGGCATATTTATTGACATATTGCTTGAGACTTACTGATATAAATATTATAATTAATCTTTATTTTGAGTAGTACTTTATTGCACAATGCACATTTTCTTAAAATTACGCCTAAAATGTGTTTTAACCCCTTAACTGTCCCTTGCCCGTATACGGGCAACCTAAATTTACTTCACTATATTACTATTAAATCCTAATCTAGTCATGACAAACTATATCATTGGAAAGGTCTAAGACTCCTAAATAGATATTTTCTACCCTATCTCACGACCAATTCGTACGAATTCGTACGAGTGATTAAAAAGTGGCTAATTCGTACTAATTCGTACGACCTCACTCGTACGAATTCATACGATTTGTCTAAACCCATGTGACGGTTATGTTTAGGGGCGGGGTCAGGGGTAGGTCATTCGTACAAATTCATACGAATTGGCCAATTCGTAAAATATGTCCGATTTAGCAAGGTCGTATGAATTGTTACGAATTAGCCACCTCGTAAAATTCGTATGAATTCCCGTGAGATCGGGTTGATATTTTAGCACAGTTTTTTTTTTCTTACAAATTATGAATGAACATTAATATATGAATTTATGACAAGAGTGCGCCTCAAAAAAAAAAAAAAAAAAAAATCGACATCATTACAGGAGTTTCTGACCTTTGTCACAAAAAGTCGACGCACACACTTTTAATTATTGAAACTTTGGTTTTTAGTGCTAAAAGTTCATAATAAAAAAAATCTAGTATGTCAATAAAAAAGATAAAATTATATTTTAAAAGGTAAGAAGTCCTCTAAAAAGTATAATATAGTATATATAATAAAAAAAAATATTATTATTTTATCAAATATTTTAGTAGTTATTATAAATTAGGTATCATTTGAAAGCTTATGAACTCAGAATTCATCCCGTGAAAACCGTTTTGAAATTGGACGTTGCGTTACCATAGAAACGGTATTTTTTTATTAGGCCCCTCCCCTTTTGGGCATCATCTTTCATAATTTATCATCAAAACCTTTTCTAATATTGACAAAACACATATTGTCAGAAAGGTCTGAGTCTCAAGGTTCCATATTTAATGACAGAAGTGATATTTGGATAGAAATGTATTAATTTGTTACGGCAGAATGCATACAATTAAATTCAATGGCACCCAGTGGCTATTTTTGGTATAACGCCTAAACAAAATCTCATGAGAACTTCGATTTTTGTGATATCAACTTTAATTTGGATATATATAGCTTTTATAGTAATTTAATAGTAAAAAATATTTTGTAAAATATTTATTTTATATTAAAAAATATATATTAATAAAGTATATTTGATATAACTTCCATAACTTTTTCATACCTCAGTAATAATCTGCTGATTGTTTTCTTTAAAACAGGACCAAACTTAGGTCTATATTCCAATTCTTAAATTTGCATTCTTGAATTACAACCATTTAAGTTTGCATAGTGCATTTTAATGTCAATTATCAAAAAGGGGTGACGGGGGGTGACAGGTAAAGAGTTAATATCACTAATATTAAGGAAAGTCTTTAAACATAAGACATTTAAAGTGTATTTGCATTTTAGCAAGTATATCTATAGTTGGACCGGATAACTAAAGTGCATTAAGTTAAATGTACAAATGTAATATACCAAAAGTACAAGTGCAGGGTATTTATATTAAGTACAAATGTGTAAATGTATCTGTATACTTTGCATAAAATAAATGCATTTCAAATACATTTTGGTATATTCATTTTTCACTAGGGTTTTGGGGGAACACAAATGTCTACAGTTTTACAGTTTTTCAAGTTCAACTAAATGACAATGAGAAATGTTGCATTTTAAGCGTACGAGTGTTTGATTTGATTTCAAGTGACTGAAATGATTTAAGTTTCAGTCACTGCTCTCAGATCTTTTTTCTTGAACCAAATAAAGTTAAATATATACATTTTTTAAGTTATATTTGGTTATTTTGAATCCTTTCATCCATTTTCAAGTGTTTAAAGGTTTGTTGGCTCCGAGCTGAGCTGCGCTTCTCCTCATTATCTGACCTGGCTCTCACCGTTGTGCTCTGAGTTTTGACCCTAGGAGGAGTTTTTGGTTTTGACCAAGCCCTTCAGCACCAATCCCCTGTAGAACTCCTGGAGGTACGTGTACACGCACTTCCAGTCCGGCTCCCGCATCCGCACCATATCCTCCACATCCAAAAGCTGCGGACAGTCGGCCAGCTTCCTACTCTCACGGAGACGAGGCCACGGAGGAAGAAAAGCGGATCGAGACAGGACGAAGAAACAACAGGTGGAGTGGCAAACACGAGGGCCAGTGAGGGGAGAGAAATGAGACACACAAGACAAAAATCAAAAAGCCCACATTAAACTCTGACAGTGTTTTCATGCTCATAACAAATACATGTGCAAAGACAAACAACATCTAATAGAGCAACAACTTTTGGTGATCTCATTATGCAAAACAAATGTGCCTGTGAACGAGAACATACAGTATGCATGGAGTGACTACTAAACATGTGACCCTTCAGCTCTGTAGATGCTCATGCTTGAGGAGTGCAGACCGCACTCTTTAAAGGCACACATCTGTTACTGCTTGGAAAATCACTTCCATCCCACGTATTATAAGGACTTAAAGGTGCAGTAGGCGATTTCTGAGAAACACCGTTGGTAATTGAATTCGACACCCAAAGAAACACACCTTTCGTTGCTCCGCCCACAAAAGTAAGGAAGGGATAATGTACATCCAGCCGGTGGGTCTCTCACAATAACCCCCGACAGTACGATGAGGTCTGATGAGCCTGAACAGGGTTATTTTTCCAATCCAATCGAATCCACTTTGTTTTTGTCCAAACACTATTTGTACGATTTTTTTCCAGCACACACACACAGATATCTAAGAAATATTCCGAAGATTTTTGTTTGGGTGTTCTCAGAAATCGTTTACTGCACCTTTAAGGCGTTTTCATACCTGAAGATTGTTTGCTTTGTTTTAAAACAGGGACTTAAAGGAGTAGTTCACTTTTGAAAAAACTTTTGCTGATAATTTACTCACCCGCATGTCATCCAAGATGTCCATGTCTTTCTTTCTTCAGTCGAAAAGAAATTAAGGTTTTTGATGAAAACATTCTAGGATTTTTCTCCATATAATGGACTTCAATGGGGACCAAAGGGTTTAAGGTCCAAAAGACACTTTCAATGCAGCTTCAAAGGGCTTTAAACGATTCCAGACGATGAGTAAGGGTCTTATCAAGCGAAACGATCGTTAATCTAAAAAAAATTACAAAGTTTAAGTTTTATAAGCTCAAATGCTCGCCTTGCTCTGTTCTGTGATGCGCGTTCGTGACTCTCCTGTTCGAACTCGTTCATCAAAATGAACAAATCTTTTTACGAGTCAATTCGTTAGTTTCGTTCGTTGAATGAACAAATGACTCGGAAGATTAGTTCGTTCATTAGTTTAAAAGATTAGTTCATTTTGATGAACGAGTTCGAACAGGAGAGTCACGAACGTGCATCGCAGAACAGAGCAAGGCGAGCATTTGAGCTTATAAAACTTATACTTTGTAATTTATTTATTAAATGAGCGATAGTTTCGCTTGATAAGACCCTTATTCATCGTCTGGAATCGTTTAAAGCTCTTTGAACAGTTTGCAGTTTGCACTGAAACTCTCATTTAGACCTTGAACCGTTTGGTCCCCATTGAAGTCCATTATATGGAGAAAATCCTGGAATGTTTTCATCAAAAACCTTAATTTCTTTTCGACTGAAAAAAGAAAGACGTGGACATCTTGGATGACATGGGGTGAGTAAATTATCAGCAAAAGTTTTTTGAAAAGTGAACTAATCCTTTAATGCATCAACTATCAATGAGCAATACATTTGTTACAGTATTTATAAACATTCAACTGTTCATTAAGTTCATGTTAGCTCAGGTCAATTGCATAATATTAACAGACAACTATTTATGTGAATAATGTATTAGCAAATGCTGTAATTAACATTAGGAATAATAAATGCTTTATTTAATATTTTCATTGTTAGTTCATTGTTAGACCAAAAACAAACAAGACTGGCGTGATTTGAGATGAGTAAACAGCGACTGAATACTCTGAACTGCACTAGTGACTCGCAGACTGAAGCATTACAGATGGTGCCTTTAATGATGCCGACGACAGCCAGGGGGAGTGAGATAAACCAGTGCTCAGTCAGGCGAAACAAGAGGACATGAGGAAGTGTCTACTGAATTACCTGGACACAGAGCAGCCAGGTCAAAGGTCAAGAAAGGGGAAGCAGGTTAAGGCCTACTCTCAGGTAACCAAACAACACTGACTTTGAGTTTGAGTAACGCTCCTCCGTTAGCAGACACTATCTGGATGTTTAAATGCATGAATGTAATGTTACTGGGAAACGGAAAAGGAAAGGAGCAGAGGAGAAAGGTAAATAATCATTTCAAATGCTAGTAATTAGGGTTTAGTTATTTAAGTGGACCTGCCTAAAGGAAATGACAGCTATTAAAAGATGATCAATCTCAGAGGACTGGAGATGCAGATCGGATGAACTTGTTAAAAGGTTTGGTTGTATTAAAACAGGCTCAGAAACAAAAGAAAAATAGTTATATAATTACAATACCAGTCAAAAGTTTGAGATCAGCAAGATTTAAATACTTTTATTCACCAAGGATGCATTAAATTGATCAAAAGTGACAGTAAAAGGCATTTATAATGTTATTATCATCATATTAGAGTGATTTCTGAAGGATCATGTGCTGAAAATTCAGCTTTGATCACAGGAATAAATTACATTTTACAATATATAACAACAGAAATCAAGTACTTTAAAGTGTAATAATATTTCACAATAATACAGTTTTTACTGTATTTTTAATCAAATAAATGCAGCCTTTTTGAGACTTCTTTAAAAAAAAAAAAAAAAGTGTGTTTTTTTTGGAGTTTGACAATAATAGAAACATGGGGAATTCACTAAGAATCAATTGCACATGCCGTCTGCACAGTTTCATAATCTGATTCACTAAAGAAATGATGCAAATCAGGTATTGCCACAAACACGCCTACAAATTGATAGCATGGCACAATCGAGCGCTTTAGTGCCCGCCTGCTTTTACAACAGCGTTGGTTCCGGAAGTATTTTTTTTCCAAATCAGAAAATACAAAGTGAGGGAAAGAACCCCAAACAGCATAATCATTTTTTTTTTAAATGGAGAAATATAAAACTACTCATTTAAACCTGTTGATTATATCCATAGAAACAATACATTAAGTTTATTGCAAAATATGCATATAAATACAAATATTTAAGTAGTCTGGGCGGAGCTAAAGAGGTGTTTTGGTGATTTGTTTTCTGTGCAGTATTATGGGTAATGTAGTTTTTCACCTCGAACTCAAATCTTTAAAATAAGTTGGGGGAAAAAAAGCAGCTTTAAAATAAGTTGACCTAATGAGGGCAGCTGGTGGCTTTAACAGCAGCAAATACCATCGATTAACAACCTCGTAACTCACAGTAGGGCTGTCTTTATGGTAAATTCAATTTCCCAATGGGGGAAATGAATGGAGATTTTTACACTCTATTCTCCAGCAGAACTTAATCTGGCAGACTTCACTGTGACTGCACAGCATCACTCCACCGCCTCGACATCCTCAGACAACCATTGGCCTGGTTATAATGTCATTAAAACTATGTACACAAGCACTCCTTGCCCAAAACAATCTGCTCACAACAAGCTTTCCATCTGTGGTAACGGCAACACATTAATTGCATCAGGCCAGTGTTTCTGAAATGCCTTATTTGCATTGAAGCGAGTGAGTGTTTTCTATTCTATGTAACTTGTCAGTAAATCCATAAATTCATATAATAATGCATTTTATGAACAACATGCACCTGCTAAAGTCGGACTGTGAATAATGTCAGAAGCTGCAATTGATTAGTGAATTCGCCCCATTGTGCAAACATTCAGATCCCAAATTGAGTTGTATTCCTGCCCGGCGTGTTATGGTTCTGATGGTGTGATGTGAGCGTATGGACTCACTCTGCTGTGTTGAAGGCCATCTCGAAGTTCTGCCTGCGGTTGCTGGGACTGAGGCTGGAGTAGTCGAAGGCCTCGGGGAAGAAGTTGTGCACCAGAGCGCAGAACGCCATCCCGTCACTCCAGCTGGAGGAGAAGTTCTGGATGTCCACGTTCTTCATGACGTGTAGGAGACAGAGAGATAGTAAGAATGTACTCAACTATTGTAAAGTTTGGGGTTGACGTCATCACTTCAGCACTCTATAATGACAGTCTGTTCCTCACACAAAGCTATATTTTTACTTCAGAAGGCTTTATATCTATCACACTAATGCACTATATTCCATGTATTCCCAGTCCAAATGTTTTTAGGGTGGTTTTGTCATCTTTGGAGCTTGACATCCCTAGACCTCTTACACGTTTTAATGGTAAGCACACGCTAAATAATTGTGTTAAATGAAAAAGAAAACGACTCGAGGTTAAAGGAGTGGTTCACTTTTAAAAAAACTTTAGCTGATAATTTACTCACCCCCATGTCATCCAAGATGTCCATGTCTTTCTTTCTTCAGTCGAAAAGAAATTGAGGTTTTTGATGAAAACATGCCAGGATTTTCTCCATATAATGGACTTCAATGGAAACCAAACGGTTCAAAGTCCAAAAGACACTTTCATTGCAAATTGCAAACTGTTCAACGAATCTTTTTACGAGTCAATTCGTTCGTTTTGTTCGTTGAATGAACCAAATGACTCGGAAAAAGATTCGTTCATTTTGATGAACGAGTTCGAACAGGAGAGTCACGAACGCTAATCACAGAACAGAGCAAGGCGAGCATTTGAGCTTATAAAACTTAAACTTTGTTATTTATTTATTAAATGAGAGATCGTTTCGCTTGATAAGACACTTATTCATCGTCTGGAATCGTTTAAAGCCCTTTGAACAGTTTGCAGTTTGCACTGAAACTCTCGTTTAGACCTTGAACCGTTTGGTTCCCATTGAAGTCCATTATATGGAGAAAAATGCTGGAATGTTTTCATCAAAAACCTTAATTTCTTTTCGACTGAAGAAAGAAAGACATGGACATCTTGGATGACATGGGGGTGAGTAAATTATCAGCAAAAGATTTTCCAAAAGTGAACTACTCCTTTAAGCAAATGATGACTGAGGTTCACCTCATAGGAACGTGTCTTGGATCGACACCAGTCCAGCAGCATCTGTTTGATGGAGTTTGCGTTGGGGACACCGAAGCTTGTGGAGCGCTGGACCTTGTTTACTTGAGCAATTGTCGAGTTGCTACAGACAGAAAGAGAAATGTTGATGAATATGTGGTACTTCGGTGAGCTAAAAGAGCCTGAGAGTGTCTGAAAGCCAAGCGCTCACCCTCCAGAGCCTCCAGTGTTCTCAAGCTTCTCGATCATGGCTTTCCGAGCCTGTGCGGCGGATGTCTTGGGTAACGTCTGAGCCCTCATCAGCTCTGATTTCTCTGTCTGTCTGCGCTCAACAGCTGACGATCTACTTGAGCTACGAGACGTGTTGTCCTCACGGTCAAAAACACTGAAGGAGAGAGAGAGAGAGAGAGAGATGTGCACTGTTTGAATTGCTTGAAATATGATTATAATTGTTTCAAAAAAGGAAAGTACAAATACAGTACAACACAGCCGTCATATCGGCGACATAAAATTTCAATTAATTTTAATGGTGAGACCTTTGTTTTTGTGATCAGGCTCAGAAAAATTATTTAGATTTAGATTTATCGGCTTTCAAATATAAAGAATTATTACCCTAATTAATTTCTTATTAAACAACTCTTACTGACCTCAAGCATTAAAAAGGTAGTGTACGTAATTTTACATTACTTTATTTCTCTGTTCTATCTAATACCTGAATAATTATTTGATAATTATAAAAAAAAAATTGCATAATCATGCACAATAAAACCAGGCCCAAAATAGAAAAGTCAATAAGATCATTTTTGAATTCATGTCGACTTTAAAACACTCACCTTCCGACCTTCCTTGTGGACGTTGTGCTGGAGTAACTGTAGGATTTAGTTTGCACTGAGCCCCCTGAGATGAGAGAGAAGAGGGTTAGATTACAAATTATTAAAAAAAAAAAAAAAATTTACATTAAAAAAAATTATAAAAAGATTACATAATAAATAAATACAGAATACAAAAAGAGTTCAATAAACTCACTGTCCGTCTTTTGAAGATAGCTGGATTCCATGATAGTGCTGCGGGACGTCCTGCCGGTATCATCTGCACACACAACCAATGACAGATAATTAGCATTCTGTAATATAAGCAATTTAACTGCACTGACAATAAAACAAAATTTGAACTGAATTGACCGCTCGCAAAGACCCGCCCCTTTAGTTACTGTTGCTATGTCGGACAAGCCACGCCTCTCTCACGCCACACTATGTTCTCACACAGTGAAAAACACATCACAGAGCAGAGGACACTGATAACGCTCTGACAGACCAGGTTATTTTTAATGAAATTTAAACAAAACAATACAGTTTTGTGGCTCTGACAGATCGCCGTAGAGCCTCTTAAAGCTGCTCGTGAACCGATCATCTCTTCCTTCTAGTTAATTTATAGCATAAAATAAACATGAATGAACATCAGAAGGAATGCTGTTTTAACCGCGGAAAGACGTCAATACACACCGTTTCTCAAGTTCAAATCCTCCAACGTTAATCGGCTAACTCTCCTGACTGCTTTGTCGGACAAAAATGGCGGATTCTGCGGATGGCGGACTATGATTGGTCAGATCGCCTGTCAATCAAACTCCCTGCGAAGGGTCAAAACCAACATTAACTTTTCAACAGTGGCAGAGTTATTGAACCGGACTGAATCAATATTGAACTAAACTGAGCTGAATAATGAGCTGACATTCGATTTATTTAATAATTATTTAATAATAATTATTTATTTAAAAACTATGTTATTTTCCCGTTTATTAATCTGAAGCTGTTTTGAGACAATATGTTCTGTATAAAGCACTATATAAAGAAATTTGGACCCCAAATCTGGAAGTGTTGTTGTTATTCAATAAAATTAGATAAAGAACAAAATTTAACTCCAAAAACAAAATATGATAACATTTTTTTTTCCTCAAACGGTATTTCTATATCAACCTTTGTCCGTTTATAGTGTTTGTGAGTAGAGCCCGACCGATAAAGGATTTTGAAGGCCGATACGATACAAATATTTTGGAGTTTTAAAATCCGATATTCCGATATATCGGCCGATATATTTTTTTTATTAAATATTGTTGGATTTCACACACGTGTAAAAGAAAAGCGAACTTTTCTGCACAAGATACAATTGATACTTTTTCTCTATGTCTAAATGTTCACTCCTCGCAAGTATAACTTACATTTTACAATGCAGGGACTGTAACTAGAGATATGCTAGTTATAAATACGGTAATAATTACTTTATTTAGGCAGAAAAAGTTCATTGTGGTTTCCAAGCTCATTAATGTTAACGTTAGCGGTCTTCCACTGATGATAGTTGCATTAGCTAGCTTAGTGGTTAGCAAGTCTATGATGAGCCATAATTTAGCAATAGATAACATCATACTGCAAATTGTAAAACATACATTTTCAATATAACAGGCCAAGGAGAGATGATTAAAGCGTGTTTCGCCCGTTTTTATTTTATTTTTTAAATATTCATTTCTCGGCCATTATAACTGCCGATACCGATATTATGGCCGATATATCGGTCTGGCTCTATTTGTGAGTGCATGTTTATATTTACAAAGACAATGCAGCCCTATAAGAGGCACACCTAAATATATTTAACTAAATTATTTTTGAGAGAAATCTAACCAAAAGATAAAAATATACCTGGGTAAATAGACCTGAAACACAATAGATGCTACAATGTACTCTTTTAGTTAATGGTCATATCTTAAAAAAATAATCATTTAAAAACTTGTGTATTTTGATGGTCTTAACCCATTTCCAAAGTTCCATACATTTCTGTGTATTTTTGTACCTATTCCATATCAAAACTGACCCAAATACAGTTTTAAAAGTACACAAATATTTCACTATATTGCAGTAGATGTTTTAAAAGTGACCGTGTTATTGAAGGACTCTTAAGAAATGTGAAAAGGACCTCTGATTCAATATAGTTGCTAGTGTTTACTAACCATTAGCTTTCTCCAAGTATTATATAAACCTTGTTTGATTCCTCGGGTCATGTGATTTTAAATTATAACTGCTTTTGGAGCAAGAATCCCAGACTTGAACCCTGAACTTTACAAGTACACTGAAGAGGTCAAGAGGCCACTACATTACTGCTGTGGTACCTGAATGGGAAACCCGATTGGTGATCTGGCTGGTGGTGGATCCGTCTGTGGACCGCTCAATCTTCTTCATGACCACTTCACTGGTGTCGGCACCTCCGCGACCTTTCTGAGATCGCTGCTGTCTGAGCTCCTGCAGACGCACATCTCTCTCCCTCTCTCTCTGGTCTGAGGACACAGGCAAAACCAACAGCGTCAGGATGATGTTCGTAAGGAGGGAAGAGAAATTCAGGTCAAGACCACATCAGTACTTTTCCAATGTGATCAATGCACGGGACTATCTGACTAGCGAAACCTGTCTGAAAACATTATTTTGTGACACAGAAATCACACACTTACGAAACCATCACTAGCACTCGTGTGAAAGTGCTAATATCTTAGATTAACACCATAGTAGGGTTGTGTGATATTTATTGTCGACTAATTTAAAGCTGCAGTCTGTAGTTTTTCCACTTTGTCGCCATCTCTGTTCGAAATCTGCTATTGCAGTCATTCGCGTAATTGTCAACTTTACGTGGGTTGTGCCTCGGCGGTCGCGTGCCGGTGTGGATTCTGGCATTCAGAATCACAAGTTATACTTTTGGGAAGTATGACCAGTAGGGCTGTAGTCAAACAAAGAAATCCTTAGTCGACCAAAGTTTGTCCTGCACAACAATTAGTCGACCAAAAAAAAAACAAACAAAAAAAAAAGACGGGATGTTTTGATTGAACATTTTTTAACAATTGTCATAAAGCATTTATAAAACAACAATGAAAAAAAAAAAACATCAAAAATACATAAAACTATAATAATAATACAATTCTTTGCAAATTAAGTGATTTTTTAACAGCAAAGTGAGGAGCTCTGTCCTAGGTCTATAGTGACGGTCACAATCGCGCGCCTGACCACACCACACGCTACAAAAAATATAACTGCTACATAATGCCACATAATGAAAAATCCTAACAAAAGCTCTCGTTTATACAGGCTGTATATTCATCTTTACTTTGAAAGCTAGGCATTTTAAATCAAACACACAGCCTAAAAAAACAATCCTAATAATAATTGTCCGTATTGTAGGACCACATATAGGTTTATTTTCGTTTTGTTTAGGGCTGCAACAACGAATCGATTAAATCGATTAAAATCGATTTCTGAAAGAGTTGGCAACGAATTACATTATCGATTCGCTGCGGCGCAGAATTGTTTGAGTATAAAAAAAAAGTTTGAGTTGAGCGCATTTGTCAAACGAGAGAGACCGAGTGTGTCCCTGATGATCGCGAGAGAGAGACCGAGTGTGTCCGAGATCACGCGCTCGCGAGAGAGAGAGTGTGTCTGAGCATTAGTAATTTGGTACATACATACTAGACATTCTCTGATACAATAGTAATAGATCATTAGGCATATTATATAAGATATAAATATAAACAACAATTAAATTCTTACCACTGAATGAGCAGACTGTGATTTGAATCAGATAGACAGAGTCAGAGGAACTTCACTATATGCTCGGAATTTAAGGATGAGCTGAAAAATACCTTACACCATAGGAGATGGTCAATCCATTGTATTTGTTATAGGGATGGGCAACGATTAATCACATCCAAAATAAAAGTTTGTGTTTACATAATATATGTGTGTGTGGTGTGCTTAATTAATTTTTATATATAAATACCCACACATGCATGTATATATTTAAGAAAAATGTGTAATTAATATGTCAAATATTTATATTTATATATAATATTAATTATGTATAAATATACATAAAGTATATACATGCAAATATTTCTTAAATACATACATTTATGTGTGGGTATTTATATATACAAATTAATTATACACACTACACACATATATTATGTAAACACAAACTTTTATTTTGGATGCGACTAATCGCGATTAGAATTAATTGCGTTGCCCATCCCAAATTTGTTATATATTACTTTATATTCATTGTATTTATAATTAATAATAATATTTTTTTTCACTGAATTTGCACCTTCAGATCAGTTTTTTAATAAAGGATTGGAAGTTAATGTTTTTTATCCGATTCATCGATTAATCGACAAATTAATCGACAGATTAATCGATTATTAAAATAATCGTTAGTTGCAGCCCTAGTTTTGTAACATTATTTAGGCTATTTTCAAATGTGTAAAGTGTACAAATAAAAACAAAAACATATCAAGAAAACACAATCTATTGAGTCGGCATGATAAAGTCGTTAAAGGGACTGCTCACGTCTTTTGCGCGCTCAAGTTCGATTTCAAATGTAGGCGCGCGGTGTGCGCGCTCATAATGGAAGCAACGCGGTCGCGGTGCGACGCACTCTTTTTTTTTACAAGTGCGTCCACGCCGCATCGAGATAAAAACATACAGTGTATAAAAACATAAAAACCAAAACAAGTAGCGTTCTAACTGAATGAATACAGCTAAACTACCTATATCCACAGGAGCGAACCGAGTGTTCGATGTGCGTGCGCTAAACTGTGGCGCTGTTACAAAATAGCCTCAGCTGTCTATTCAGCAAAATATTGGCAGAAAATACAGAAGATATTTTTTTTGTGAATATCACACACCCCTACACCACAGATGAACATGATCAAGCAAACACAAAGCAAGCAGTACCATCTGATTACGAACTACATTCACTTTCATGCAGGGTCAAACAACATTAATACAATGACAAAATCACACGTGGCGCTTCAGTGAATAAAAACGACATACCGTATCTGCAACTACAAACCAAATCTATAGCCAATGAAGCTCTAGATGACCCTTCAACTAAGGCCCTGGGCATTAGCAAGGGGTCAGTAGGGCAAAAAACACACACAATCCAGAAACCCTACCCATTTCCTCCTGTGTGCATCCCAGCTTAGCCTCTGAGAGCAAAGAGAGAGAAACAGGGCTGAACCATAGGGAAGTAAAGACGACAGAACGTCTCTACACTTTATGTTGAAACACACCCATCAGTAAATACAGAGAAAAGAAAGAAGAACAAGAGATGAGTGCTGTACAAAAAAACAAATGTAGAGATAATCACCTCGCTTTTTCTTGCGCAGTTCTCTCATCGCAGTCCTGATCATTTTCCTTTCTTCAAAATCTTTGCAATCATCAAGCTGTAAAAGCAAAAAGCAACCCAAACAAATTAACACAATATAAGTATAAAGAATATTTCCATCATGATATGCAGGTCACTTAAGAGATTTAAGTATTGGTAGGTTTTATTTAAGGCAATTAATCGCGATTAATCGCATCCAAAATAAAAGTTTGTGTTTACATAATATATGTGGGGGCACTGTGTATAATTATTTTATATATAAAAATACACACACATGCTTAAGAAATATTTTCATGTATATACTGTATATAGATTTATATATAATTGATATTATAAATAAATATAAATATTTTATATATAAATCAAATTTTTTTCTTAAATATACATGCATGCGTGTGTTTTTATATATATACAAAATAATTATACACAGTGCCCCCACATATATTATGTAAACGCAAACTTTTATTTCGGATGCGATTAATCGCGATTAATCGTTTGACAGCCCAAGTTTTATTAAAAGCAAAATAAAAAAATCTTGATTTTTGAGCACACGTCAGGAGAAAATAATTAAGACATTTAGATGTTGTATATACACAAGATTATTTATATAAGTGTTCAAAAAAGCACCATTTTGTCCAGGATCTCCTCGTCCTCGATGTCCTGCAGCTTCTCTGAGGTCAGCTTCTCACTTTGTTCCTCTCTTTTGATAGAGGTCATGGATGAGCCGTTAGGAAGCACCAGGACTTCATGAGCCATCCCACTCACAGATTCACCCACAAGAGAAATGGGATCCGTCTCCATCTGTGTGTGTGTGTGTGTGTGTGTGTGGAGGGATAGAAAGACAGCAACATGACACCTGTATACATTATAAAACGTACACTATCAAAAATTACCATCATTTAAAAACAAAACTGTACAAATGCTATATTATAAAACTGTTAATTGGTTAATAGTAGGTTCCCCAATACTACAGTGAAAACTGAAATGGTCTAATGGGAGATTTAAATGGAGAAAAGTTTTTTCCCGATGAACTTAAGATTCATCTTATGTACTGGCAACCACAGCTTCTGTTTTTTTTACCATTAAAGTTTTACGATTTATAATTTTTTTTTGCATTGAGTCAAGCTACAAGCTACTTATTTAAACCAGAGTCAAGCTATACTTTTGACAAAGTACTGTAGCAGGTAAACAGAAGAAATGCATGAGGATTATGGTGACAACATTAAACAGCATTTGAACACCATGAAAACTAAATTTACTGATAAGATGTTGAGGAACAAGTTAGCATAAATGGTGTAACAAGGTTATACATATAGCACAAATAACATCAATGAATATTCAAAAAGGCCCCTCGAGAATACTGATATTTTTCCATGGCCTTAAATGTAAAAATATAGCGCAGAAATTCACCGCCTCACCACATATGGTCTTTAGCTTAAGAAAGAACTTAAAGGAGTAGTTCACTTTTAAAAAAACTTTTGCTGATAATTTACTCACCCCCATGTCATCCAAGATGTCCATGTCTTTCTTTCTTCAGTCGAAAAGAAATTAAGGTTTTTGATGGAAACATTCCAGGATTTTCTCCATATAATGGACTTCAATGGGAACCAAACGGTTCAAGGTCCAAATGAGAGTTTCATTGCAGCTTCAAAGGGCTTTAAACGACACCAGACGATGAATAAGGGTCTTATCAAGTGAAACGATCGCTCATTTAATAAATAAATAACAAAGTTTAAGTTTTATAAGCACAAATGTTCACCTTGCTCTGTTCTGTGACAAGCGTTTGTGAGTCTCCTGTTCGAACTCGTTCATCAAAATGAACAAATCAAAATGTTCAAAATGAACAAATCTTCCGAGTCATGACTCCTACATCGTCTGGAGTCGTTTAAAGCTCTTTGAACAGTTTGCACTGAAACTCTCATTTGGACCTTGAACCGTTTGGACCCCATTGAAGTCCATTATATGGAGAAAAATGCTGGAATGTTTTCATCAAAAACCTTAATTTCTTTTCGACTGAAGAAAGAAAGACATGGACATCTTGGATGACATGGGGTTGAGTACATTATCAGCAAAGATTTTTCTAAAGTGAACTAGTCCTTTATGTGTCCCTTTTGTTGTTTTTATGTTGTGATTACAGCAGTTAAAATATTAACATTTTATTTAAAATTTCGATTATTTTTTTCCAATTAGTTCAATTTCTCTGATTCTAGGTTTCAAATAAATGGCTTCCCTACTCATTTGGAAACAATTTTTAACTTTCAAATTTCCATTTTTTTTTATAAAACCATGTATAACACTCAAAAGTTGCCACTGCATTTGTAGAAAGATGCATGATCATCACAAAATTCATGTTGTACTGTGTTAAAATGCATCATACCGAAAAGTGTATGGGAAAGAATAACTTGCACACCGAATCCGAAATTTTCACACGTTAAAAAATGAATACGACCTTGTGTTGTCAATCACGTTTACACACTGCCTCTGAAACTTTCGTCCCTCATAAAAAAATTCGGATGGGGTTAGCAAGCATTTTGAATGGTGTTTTGACAATTCAGAGCCACCGAATGACGAATACGAAAAAGCACAATGTACCGACAGACCAACCCCATCTCACGGGAATTCGTACGAATTTTACGAGGTGGCTAATTCGTAACATTTCGTACGACCTCACTCGTACGAATTAGCACGATTTTGCTAAATTGTACATATTTTACGAATTAGCCAATTCGTATGAATTCGTACGACCTGACCCCACCCCTAAACATAACCGTCACGTGGGTTTAAACAAATCGTACGAATTCGTACGATTATAATTGACAGCAACACAATCAGGATTTAAGAGCAGGGACAATAAAAATACTCGTCCAAAAATAAAGAGTGATGGGCAAGAAAGAGCAGAGAGCGAGCGAAACCACTACAGCAGAAAGAGGAGATGGAAAAAGGGGCTGGTGGAAGGGAGGGAATGTTTCTGAATCTGATCTATGTCTACAGCTGTGTTTACACAAAAGCCGTGGAAGCTCGCTGACATTTAGACAGGAATGAGAGCTCAATGATTTCTGTGAATGTCCCTGAGAGCCTTAGCCCGTGTCACACTCGCTTCTTCACTGATCTCTCCTTCAGCAAACGCCATGGCGAGCCGGACGCCTCGTAACGGAGAGGGTTTACGGCATTAGCACTTTGAGAGGTGATTCGCTGGGATAAAGTGTGGTTGTTACCCCAGCAGTTTCATATTAGAAATATCTTTTAAACCTATTCACCGATTTTATCCAGCTAATCATTATTTACAAAAATGTGAAAATTTAAACTGTTATAATTATCACGAAACCACCTTGCATTTATTTTTGGCATTGTACTTTGATATATTGTGGTGTAACTGTAAGGTACACAAATGTATTAATGAAAATATTCAGTCTCTCTCTTATGAGAAAATGCACTCTTTATTCTGAACAATGCTTTTATTTATTTATACTTTTGTGTTTGCTAACTGAAGGCTGTATATATATATATATACACACACACACATTAATAGAGACTTAATACTTGTATTTATACAAAATGTATTTTGCTTAGTTCACTTTGAAAAAAACTTTTGCTAAAAATTTACTCGCCCCCATGTCATTCAAGATGTCCATGTCTTTCTTTCTTCAGTCGAAAAGAAATTAAGGTTTTTGATGAAAACATTCCAGGATTTTTCTCCATCTAATGGACTTCAATGGGAACCAAACGGTTCAAGGTCCAAAAGACACTTTCAGTACAAACTGCAAACTGTTCAAAGGGCTTTAAACGATTCCAGACAATGAATAAGGGTCTTATCAAGCGAAACGATCGCTCAATAAATAAATAAATAACAAAGTTTAAGTTTTATAAGCTCAAATGCTCGTCTTGCTCTGTTCTGTGGCGCGCGTTCGTGACTCTCCTGTTCGAACTCGTTCATCAAAACGAACGAATCTTTATCAATCTTCAGTCAATTCGTTCATTTCGTTCGTTGAATGAACCAAATGACACGAAAAAAGATTCATTCGTTTTGATGAACAAGTTCAAACAGGAGAGTCACGAACGCGCGCCACAGAACAGAGCAAGACGACCATTTGTGCTTATAAAACTTAAACTTGTTATTTATTTATTAAATGAGCGATTGTTTCGCTTTATAAGACCCTTATTCATCCTCTGGAATCGTTTAAAGCCCTTTGAACAGTTTGCAGTTTGTACTGAAAGTGTCTTTTGGACATTGAACCCTTTGGTCCCCATTGAAGTCCATTATATGGAGAAAATCCTGGAATGTTTTCATCAAAAACCTTAATTTCTTTTCGACTGAAGAAAGAAAGACATGGACATCTTGGATGACATGGGGGTGAGTAAATTATCAATAAATAAATAATAAATAATAAATATCAGATTCAATAAAATTCAAAAAAAGACTTTATTTTTTAATTTAAAAAAACGTGCAATTAAAAAGAGAATGGAGAATTACACACCCACAGTATGGGATGCTTGAGACAACTTTATGATCTGCATAAAGTTACGCCAAATCAGATTAATGCATTAAGGGTGTTAAATGTATTTAACAGCATTAGACTTATTTAATTAATCTCACAAGGTAATGTACTAACTTTGCGCTCAAATCATTGCATCCACTCACAGTTCAGCGCATCATCCCACACCAAACACACACAAAGCCCAGCCCCAGACACACAAAAATAGACTCGGTGCAAATCTTGTGCCAAGATCTTTTTACCTTTTAATCCCTGATTAGCTAGGCTTTGCTGCACACTAGCAAATTCAGATGCTTTTCAGCCCACTTTTGAGCTAAAGCTGAAAACAAACCTTACCGATTTCAAATCTAATGTTCACTTTAGCACATGCATGCAAAATTAAATTACTACTGACTTTTTCCAACTCACTAAACTAATTGTACTATACCTAAAGCACAACTTGCCCTAAATCAAAAGATCCCTGGAAAATCAAATCTCTTCCTGGAAGCAAACTCAAACACTAAGACTTTCAATGAATCAGACAGCAATGAGCCACATGATTCATTAGCTTTCAAATGAACTGGGCTAAGTAAGCCAGAAAATCTATTTGAAGCAAACTTAAATGCACACAAAATCAATTATTCATGCTAAATGGGACTTTGAATGGGAAGTTTACACTCGTTTCCAATTCTATTTTTCAACGGCACAGGTTTCAATGAAAGAAAATCTTAAGTATCTTAAAGTTTAGATCGTTTCCTTGGCAGATTTTCCAGTGCACATTATTCACCATAAGTGCATATGGCTAATAACACGCAGTGGAAAAAACGATTCTTTCAAAACGAAAACCATCCAAATGATGACAGCAGACTCATAAAGGAAGAACAATTTCCCAGCATAATATGCAAAATACTAATCCAATTCTGCATCTTCCTCACAGTTCACAGTTCTTGGTGGTTGCTATTAGAGCCCGACCGATAAAGGCTTTTGAAGGCCGATACCGATAGAAATATTTGTAGGTTTTAAAATCAGATATTCCGATATATCGGCCGATATTTTTTTTTTTTCAGAAACGCGCAACAAAACATTAACAGATTTCCCTAACATTAGTTATTTGTAGTTATTTATGAGTTTTAACTAAAATAATATGATAATGCATTTTAAAAAGAAACGCGTTTCTTTTATTGTCACAACAGAACAGAGGAACATCAAAATATATTAAAGTTCTGATAAATAAAATAATAATTAGTCCCTACATTGCTACCTTATAATTACAATGTCAGCTTGCTTATCCCTTTACCTGCACTTTTTAAATTCTTTCCATCAAGTCGC